GTATAGGAATATTAAGAATAAAATATACAAGATAGGCATGAAGAAGATGCGAAACGGATCTTTGGTATAACATTGATCTTAATAGCTACAATCGCTTGAGATTGATTGTATTGTTTTCAACATTTGACAGTTCAAAGGATGTAACAATGCTTTCTCGATGATCTCGGTTTCTTCAGCACGGCTTTAATAGCTTCTTGAAAGACCTCCTCGAGACCCTCTTGTTTTATCGCGGAACACTCAACGTATTTGACTGCCCGGATTTTTTTTCTTATTTTGCTGCATTCCCGCGGATGAATAATATCCATAGTTTCTTGATTTCTGAGATCTGCTTTAGTACCTAATAAGAAAATACCATTATTCCATTATTAAGAGATTGCAGATTTCAATAATTCTATATAAAATGACACAAGAAAAACGCGACTAGAATTTATTCTGCGTTATAAATATTACATTGATTTAAGATGCTTACACATACAAGAAGTTCAAACTAATGTAAACAAAATTTAAATTTTAAAAAGATGGGTCTTATTTGTGTTCAAAAATACTTCACATTTAAATTTACTGCAAGGAATTAAATTTAACGCTAAAGCATGCGAGTGCATGTTGCATTTATATATGTAAAATATTTTATTTTTATAACGTGCATATGCGCTTACCCACGAGTACAATCGGCACGTTGGGACAGTGCGCCTTGATTTCTGGGTGCCATTTACTCGCTACATTTTCGAAAGAACTACGAGCACTTACGGAGAAGCAGACCAGGAAACAATCAGTCTGCAAAAAGGAAAGAATTCTCGATTGCAGGAATTTATACACACCACAACGAGAAATACGTTTGGTGAAAAATATCGCATTTATCGAGAAGTTTGTCAAAGCTTAGGAAATATTTTAATCTCATGTACATTTGGATACGATAGTGGTCTCAGACGCTCGTAATCTTCTTGACCAGCTGTATCCCATAGTGTCATTTCGAATTGATGTCCACCCACGCATATGTTGTCGACGTAGTTATCAAAACTGCAAACAATAGTTGAAAATTTATTTTTAAGGGTGAATTGCAGTTACTCACAAAATTAATTTTAAATGTTTCAGAAACTTCATAAAATTTTTTTAATAGAAATGAGAAAAAAAGAAAAGGAAAAAAAAAGAGGGATCTAAGATAGTCTTGCCAACAGTCTCTACTAATTATGTGAATTAATTATTTTGCAAGCTTACACGGTGGGTACATATTCCGTTGGAAATTCCTTTTTTGTATATGTAATAAGCATGCATGTTTTTCCAACCATACCATCGCCGACGGTCGTAATCTTAATTTTTCGAGATACCATCTTCATTCCCTTCTGTAAATTAAAAATATTTATTTATATAAATAAGCATTATTTATGAACAGTTGAGTATATTGAAGCATTTTATGATCTTAATGTATGTGTATGTGTTAACTTAGGTGTTGTTTTATAATTTTGAAAAAAAATTAGTGAAATTATTTTCATTGAAATTTTATTTTTGTATTCTCTTTGTTGAACTATTTAAGAGTGCAGTGATTCTGCATTCTTTAAGCTGAAAAAAGGCATCGAACACATCCGGCCTATGGTACGAAGGCTGTCCCTGCCGTTATATGCTGCAACGCATATCAATGAATAAGAGGCTGCTTTATTCTTATTATTGTTTAAGCACTGACTATCTCTCGCTGTACGATTACATATCTAAATAAATTTATCTGTATAAAAAAACTTTATATATTTTTTGTATATATTTTTTATAATATATATAAGATAACTTTATATATAAAGTTTTTTTATACAAATACACACGTACATAATTACATATATATGTAATCTAAAATAAATATAACATTGAATATGACTTTATTTTTGAGAACATAATCCGAAAAAAAAAAAGAAAAAACCTTACTTTAATTTCCAACACATATAAGTTTCCTATCAGTATAATGAACCCTTCAAATCATTTAAATTAGATGAAGATATGTCCAATCGTGAGAGCTTTTCGTAGATCTTTTTAGCGGAACTTGCTGGTCTTTCTTATCAAGTATGGTCATTATCAACGCGCGCCATCCGGTTGACTCTCCGGCTATGATCTGCCTGAGGCAAGGATTGATAACTAGGGTTGATAGTAGTAGTGCTACGATAATTATTATCGCGGTCCATTTACATGAACTTACTTGCCTAAAACAGCTTCAGAAGATTAATCATAAATACATGCACTTGTGTGTATTTTTATTCTTTTCTATTGTTTTTTTAACTTTATCTTATATCGATATTGAATGTAATTTTTACATTCATAGAAAATAATCTTAATAGATTGTGATTTAATGAAAATATACTTGAAATGTTCCCCCGCTTTTATTTTCCACTCATCTTATTTTTCTATTTATTTTGTGTTGCCTAATAAATTAATATTTCACCTGAATGTACCTCAATAAATTCCAGTGCAATTGTAAGCGATACGTTTTATAAAACGTAAGTAATAAACTAATTTTCTAGATTACGATTGCTGAATAAATATTGGCGAAAGCGAAAGTATTTCCTCCAACTGACTCATTACACTATAGGATGTAGCAATTGCTTAATTAAAACACGCGTGCAGACTGAAGTCATGTTTCCTAATTTGTGTTACGATCCGCCCGCGATGACACCGAGGTCAATATACTCTCGTGACGATTTAAGTTTGCGTGTCGAGCATGACGGGCGAGGAAACTCATTTCTCTCCACGCTTATGCTTCTGCTCCTGCAAGAGCGCAAATTTCTATTTACATAATTATATTATTTGCTTCTTATCAGAGGAAATAAGACTGAATTCGCATTTGATAATAATTAGATGATCTCCTCGATAAATTTTCTTAAAAAACGTTAATGCTTAAAAAATGCTTTTGAAAATTTACTGTCACAAATTATTAATTGCTGCGTATGAAAATGGCCATGCAAGCATGCCGAAGAAAATGTAAGGCTGTAAGAAATACCGTGACATTCACATTCCACGCTCTTGTTTACCTTTCTCGACTGTCCCCACATGTGCCGAACTTAAATAACGTGCACGGATCGATCGACTGCGTAATGAGGCGGTTTACATATAAACACCGATGCGTGTGCGTGAAATACGCGGCCCTAAGTGCCAGCACAAGTTTGCGTGAAGAGAAATGTATTAACATGATGAAATTTAATAAAAAAAATGCGCGCAAATAAAATGTGATAGTTAAATTATTCGCAGAAGCGATTTAACGAATTTTGACTGCCCATTAGGACATTTCATCCTCAGTAATTATAATTGAAAGTAAATCATCCAAGTTTGTAAAAATGTATAAATAAATTTAAGATAATTAATTAACTAGTATCACCAGTTGCATGTATTAAGCATACATGCAAGCCGTAAAATACTTGCGTATTTTTGCAATATTTTCGAATAAGTGGCACGCAGAATGCTTAATATGGATGGAGATGAGAAGATTCCTTAGTGTTCATCTTCCGCCTTTTTTCCTTGGATGAAATGATTTGGAAAAAAGCGAGTGTTAATAATGTACAACCAGTAAGATTGCTACATCCTTTATGAAACAGGACATAGAATAATTGTCAGTACGCGGTTATTTATCAGTTGGACGTCCTGTTTCATGTAGAATTCCGGAAAACTCGTTTCTATTATACGCCACAAAAAAAATCGTATAAAAGTGTCGATGAAATGTTCTGCAAAATTATAATGCAATAATTAGATCAAAAATTATTAATCAACCTAAATTAAAAAAAATTCTTTTAAATTATCTAACATTGACATCTGATCAAATATCATAGAGAATAGTACAAAATAATTACAAGCTTATAGAAAAATGTTTAAATTATATAAAATTTATTTATTTATGGAAATTTAAAAACTTGTAGATTATTTTATTTAAAAAATAAATTATTAAACAAAACAATATTCTTTGAAAAAAAGTCTGGTGAAAACGTTTTAACATTTAGAAATATTGTTATATTTGTAATTATATAATTCGCTCCTTCACATTTTAATTTAATTGTTCTATTTGTAATTATATAATTTATTTTTCTTTATAGAAATAAAATTAATTGTGCTAAAGAAATTTACGAATCACCGATGACCTACTATCCAATTTTTGTAACTTTCATTTGTCATGATATCAATTATTTATATTCATTCAAAGTCAGCACAATTGGCATCTAAAACTATAACATCGGAATCGAATGGCGAACTGCTGAGACTCGTTAAAGGTGCGATAAAGAGATAAGATAATTAAAGAACAGATTACACAAGAAAGTTTAGCCTAATCATATCTCTTCGCCGAATAGATATATTTAATGACATTAAATTATAATTTTAAATTATATTTTATTATATCGCTGATTAAAAAGATAAAATAATAAAATTAATCTGAAATAAAAGATAAAATCTGTTCTTTAATGAGCAAAATCTGTTCTTTAAATATAAAATGTAAACTAATCTGTTCTTTAAATGTTCCAAATTTTTTAACTTTATGAAACACTTGGATGTTAAGAATTTTTGTCATAAACATTCTTTAAAATTGACGACAAAATTAATTAATTCTGCTTTTCTTTGTAACAAGTATGATATAGATCGCATATGTATTACTCATACATTACTTACATGATACGTCATACGTGAAAAACACACCCATTAACCAATCGCACTAAAAACATTTCGTACATTTGGTGATAAAACACGATCCTCATAGACGATATTGTAATACAAGCGAGGCACGAAGGCAAAAGCAACGGACGATGCGTGTCATGCATACGACCGTCACAACGGCCGTTCCAAGACTGCAAGTATGCTCATGGCTTGTGACAGTAGTCGCAAGAGAAATCAGCTGACGTGGAATACAACAGAGCCGAGATCATAGCCTAAAAAATAAATGTTTATCAAGATTGCATTGTCTCATTTTTAAAAATTAAAGATTAAAGTTTAAGCAATGTTTTTTTAATTGTATTGTATTAAATTTTCTGTACTTGTAATTTTTCACATTTAAAACGAATTGTAAAAAGTACAATACAGCTAAAAAACACGTCATATATTAAATAATTTTAAATACTTTTTACCTTGTTTTGTTATTAATATCTAGAAACACAAGATAATTTTTTGAATGTTTAAAGATTTCTTATGTGATTTTCAATATACCTTTGTCTCTTCAAAATAATATCTTCAGTATGAACATAGTCAAAATTGACAATTATATCATTGCAGAGTTGGTACTCATTCTTTCTTTCCGCATTATGCAAGTATAGATTCATATTGGACGATATATGTTCATACACAGAAAGTATACTTATATATTTACTTACTAAACAGAATATTCGTTCTCCTGCGCTTGTATATAAGATTTGCGAATGACGCAAGTACAGTCGAGATGCCTTTATTAATCTGCGTTCACCTGCTTTAATGATATTATCAATTGTTCAACCAGTTTGGCACAATGGTCACGATCAGCATTTTCACATTAAAGATACATGATGGCTCTCGATTATCATTATTACTTTGTTAGTTACTAGCTTTTAAAAATTATTTCGATTATTGACACTAAATAAACTTCATCGAGATAAATAAATTCGGCCATCAATCGCTTTTTTACTTTATCTTTAATCTAACCTTAATTTATCTCTACGCAAATATGTAGGTAGGTGTACAACAAAAAAGAACATGATTTTCATCATGGAAGAGTATCGCATTGCCATTGGTTGATTTAAAATTTAATTCGAAATATTAAAAAAAGTAGACTTCTCTCGGTAACGGTGAACGCAGCTACTTTGCAACAATTCAATTTGCTTATAACATTATATTTCAGCGTATTCGAAGAAAAGTTATTCAATTACAAATTTGTACGAACTTTGTATTATTCACCGTCAGTTCTTTGAGAGAAATGGATAAACCTGTGAGCACCGATTGCGAAAAGGACATCACAGACGTTGAAAATTCGAAATCAGTTCTGATTGATACACATATCAAAGAAGTAGGTTGTATGAATCAACAGCAATATCGTAGCAATTATTGAATAGATTGATTCATTAATCTCTGCGTCTTGTATTATTAACAATAACTTATAATTATACTTTCTGAAGCAACTTTACACCTTTATATAAATTAAATATAATAATTATTTTAAATGAGATTTTACATCTAATTCTATATATATATATATATTCATTAATACTTCAGCTTATAAAATTGAGCAAATTGAATGAAATATTCAATAAAAAAATAGAGTATTCGAGAAATCAAATGTCGAAATTGCTGGGAAGTAATTGTAACATCGAAATGAATTGCAATAAGCTAGCGCAGAAAATAACCGACATGGATGCAAAAATATCGGAGAATACAACGATTCACATTACAAAAAAGCAAGAAATGAAAGATTTCCAAAATATTAGGGCAAACTTGTCGCACAAGCAATGGTAAAGTTTTATAAGTGACAAGAAGAATTATTTTATATACCATTTTGCTATCTGGAAAGAAATTATTATGAGTAATTATTGTATTTCAGGGATAATTGTTTATCAGAAATAGGAAACTATGCGAATAATTTTTCTCAGTGGATAACGGATTATGTAAGATAATTGAAAAAAAATATATAAATTTTTGCTTTCAAATTTAAATCGAGTTGTTTCATACAATAAATATTTGTAATATGTGTTGTTTGTAAAAGAAATTATAAATTACATAAATTATTCTTTTTTATATTTAAAGAGCAGAGAAGTTTTGATGAAGGATATTAGAGATCATCAGGAAGAATGTAAAAAAATTGGTGAAGAACTTACTATTCTGAAAAAAGAGTTAGATGATATGAGAGCAGAATGCGATTCGGATTATATTGTAGCTAATGTAGACGTTAATGACTTACCCAGCATTAATGGTGTAATATCTGATATCAAGTAAGAAAAAAATTTATATAAAAATTATTCATGTAAATTGATTAAAAACATAATTTTTGTTATACAGACCGAGCAATAATAATTTAATGGACGCCGTTAGATCAACAGAAAATACATTAAACAAAATACAGAAAAAGATAAAGCAGAGGAAGATTGCAGTTAATGAATATGAAACAAAAGATAAGTCCAGTAAATTTTAAAATATTTGTTGTTTATTCTTATTCTTTTTTATTTTTATAAAGGTAGATTTAAAATATTGTGTATCAATTAAATACAATTATTATTTATTTTACAATTAACTAGTGTATAATTTGTATAATTAATTAAATTATTAATGTATTATTTTTTTAAATACGTTATATATATTAATTAAACATTAATGAGTTAATTAACACATACATAATTAATACATATTAAACATATATATCACAATATATGTATTAATATACAAAATTTGTTAAATTGTAGAAATTGTAGAAATAAATCCAGAAACTATATAGTTTCTTTTCATGTAATAAATTCAAATATTTGGAAAACTGTAGTTAAAAACATGATCTGATTGGGCAGCTGCCATTGTGCGCTCTGCACTTGTGCGCTCGTTTTCTCACGTCTTCCCGCCAATTTTGTTAAGCGTTGCGAGCGCCATGTAACAACCAATGGCAAGCATTTGTTACAAATTTTGCCGCAACCGAAGCCGGTCATCGCAAGCGTGGTTCGGAGTAGCTCGGAGTTGATTTTCGGCTTTGGTTCCGATGCCGTCGTCTATCACATTGTGGAAGAAGTGTACAACTAATTATAACAAAGGACTGATTTTCTAACTGCAATCATGGACCTTACTGACGATAATCTGCTGCAGTTGGGCGAATATCTGAATCAGACTCTGAACGCGGACGTGAATATCAGGCGACCAGGTTGATATAAACTTTTAACCTTATTATCTTTCAAAAACCAGACTACATGTATGTATAGGCATATATATATATATATATATATATTTGTTAATTGTTTATATTCAACTTAAATTTCAGCGGAGAAATTTCTGGAATCGGTGGAAGTCAATCAAAATTATCCTTTATTACTAATTCATTTATTGGGCAAACCTGAAATTAACTTGACGATTAGGGTTGCTGGTGCAGTTGCATTTAAGAATTATGTTAAGCGTAATTGGAAAGTGGTGAGTTTTATTTGTTTGTCTTAATGTTATCGCACTTTCATTTATTTTCATAGAATTTTGTTGTTTCAGGAGGAAGACTCTGTAGATAGGATACATACTCAAGACAGAGATGCAATCAAGAAGCTAATCATCAATCTAATGTTACACTCGCCAGATTCAATACAAAAACAGTTGTCTGATGCTGTGTCTATTATTGGAAAGTATGACTTTCCAAATAAATGGCCTGAACTTATTGATCAAATGGTGGAAAAGTTTAATACGGGTGACTTCCATATAATTAATGGTGCTTTGCATACTGCACATTCCTTATTCAAGAGATATAGATACGAATTTAAAAGCGACAGTTTATGGAGAGAAATAAAGTTTGTATTAGATAAATTTGCAAAGCCTTTGACAGATTTATTCTTAGTGAGTACTCGTCATTATTATTATTATTATATATATATTAGAAATATATTTTCAAAGAAAGATAATTCTAAATAAAATATTTTACTTACAGGCTACAATGAATTTAACACAAGTGCATGCCGATAATGTGGAAGCCTTAAAAGTTATATATAATTCCTTAGCTATCATATGTAAAGTGTTTTATTCTCTCAATTTTCAAGTAAGCATATATTGTATTTTTAGTTGCATACATAAAGATAGACGAGAATTTATTGCTAAGTGTTACATTATTTTGACAGGATCTGCCAGAATTTTTTGAAGATAACATGGAAGTATGGATGCGAAACTTTCATACATTGTTAAATGCCAATGTTCCAGCTTTGCAAACTACAGTAATTTATATTTTAAATTTATTATAATTATCGCATATAAATGTGCAAAATGAAATAATTTGTTTAACCTAGGATTTATTTGCAGGGCGAAGAAGAAGCAGGAGTAATGGAGCAATTAAAATCGCAAGTGTGTGATAATGTTGCTCTGTATGCTCAAAAGTATGATGAGGAATTCCAGCCGTACTTACCCGAATTTGTTAAAGCAGTTTGGGATTTACTTACATCCACAGGGTTACAACCCAAGTATGATGCTGTGAGTAACGTTTAATTATCCTTTCAGAACTTTTGGACAAAAAATGTGAATTGCAAGACATTGAAATATATTTGCACATTGGTTTATTATTACAGTTAGTTTCAAATTCATTGCAATTCGTGGCCAGAGTAGCTGATCGTGCACAATATAGACATTTGTTCGAAGATCCAGCAACACTTAGCAGTATCTGTGAAAAAGTTATTATTCCCAATATGGAATTTAGAGGTAAATATATCAATATATAAATATAATGTGGTACAAACTAAATCTATTTTTAATATGAATTTACAGAGTCGGATAGTGAATTATTTGAAGATAATCCTGAAGAATATATTAGACGAGATATCGAAGGCAGCGACGTGGATACTAGAAGGCGTGCTGCTTGCGATTTAGTTAAAGTGTTGTCGAAATATTTTGAAGTAAAAATTATGGAAATCTTTGGGGCATATATACAGGTAAATATAATGCGAAAAGTATTGGATGATTTTACTTTCAATTAAGCACTGCAAATGTATTGTAATATATGCATTTTCTTGCATTTCTTTAGGTGATGTTGCAAAACTATGCTGAGAAACCATCGGCAAATTGGCGCAGTAAAGATGCTGCTATATATCTAGTTACTAGCAGTGCAAGTAAGGCACAGACACAAAGACAGGGAGTTACACAAAGTAGCGAGCTAGTCTCGTTACCACAGTTTGCTGGACAACATATTGAACCTGAATTAGCAAAACCAGATGGTATACTAAATGCACATATTTTGAAAGAATAATTTAGTTTAAATAAATTTATTATTTTTATTTTATTATTAAGTTTAGAACTCTGTTTTACTTTATTTGACTTATCAAAACTTAAATTTAATTAACTAAATTACAATTGAACCACTTTTCGATTGAAAACTAAAGAACTTGATGTGGTTTATTGTGATAAATAAATAGAATACTACAATGTAATTATTAACAAATTTCAGTGAACGAGTTTCCAGTGCTTAAAGCAGATGCAGTGAAATTTATAATGACATTTAGATCAGTATTACCTCGTGATATGGTAGTGGCGAATTTGCCACAATTAATAAGACACTTAAATGCCAGTAGTATTGTCGTGCACAGTTACGCTGCTTGTGCGATTGAGAAAATATTGGCAATGAAGGGCACCGACAATGGACCCATGTGAGAAATGAAAATATCTTGTATAATTTTGTAGTTACAGTTAATTATATTTAATTATATTTAAATTTTTACCTGACATTCTTTAGGGTCAAAGGGAGCGATCTATCACCGCTGGCAGCGGATTTGTTGAAAGGACTTTTCACTTGTATGAATACTACAGGCTCTGAAGAAAACGAATATGTAATGAAAACTATCATGAGGAGTTTCGGCACTTTGCAAGAAGCTGTAGTGCCATTCCTGGCCGATTTACTCCCGAAACTCACTGAGAAACTCGCTATTGTATCTAGAAATCCAAGCCGGCCAAACTTCAATCATTATCTCTTTGAAACCTTAAGTTTGTCCATCAAGTAAGTCACATTTATTATGATACAACGTATTACTCTCGAGAACATTTCAAATACTTTAATTTTTTTTCACTCTTATCTGCTATTTTATAATTTGCATATTTTATACTAAAAAGACTAATAAAGGATTGCGCGTTTTCTTTTTTTTTTAGAATTGTGTGCAAAACAAATCCTGAAGCGGTATCGTCTTTCGAACAAGCGCTATTTCCCATTTTCCAAGGAATTCTGCAACAGGATATACCGGGTAAGTTATTTTTGTCTCATGGATCATAATTTTATTTAAAAACCCGTTCTTATATTTTTACAGAGTTTATTCCATACGTTTTCCAAATTCTGGCGTTGCTTTTGGAATTACGAACTACTCAAGATGTACCGGAGCCGTATATGGCTTTATTCCCATGCTTGTTATCACCGGTATTGTTCGAACGACAAGCCAATATCCATCCGTTAAATCGTTTGCTGCAAGCATTCATTAGCCATGGCTCACATCAAATCGTAGCGCAAGATAAAACGAGTGCATTGTTAGGAGTGTTCCAGAAATTGATTGCATCGAAAGCGAATGATCACGAAGGATTCCTGCTGCTACAAAGCATCATTGAATATTTTACACCGTAAGAATGTTTGTGGATTAATTCTTTTCTTTTTTTATTTGTTATGTATATAATAACTAATAATATGTTAATTGTAATGCTACTAATCGCATAATATTACAGAAACGTTTTGGAGCCGTACATGAAGCAGATTTTCATGCTTCTGTTCCAACGGCTTTCGATATCGAAGACAACTAAATTTGTAAAAGGTCTCATAGTATTTTTTGCATATTACATCATTCGATATGGATCGTCGAGCTTGATCACGATTATCGATCAAATACAATCGCAGTGAGTTTTTTTGAATATGCAACAAAACGTTCAGTGGTTATTTAATAGAGCGAGAAATGATAAGAAATCTTTTATTTTCAGAATGTTTGGAATGGTGGTGGAGCGCGTATTCATAAGTGATCTGCAAAAGATTGCGGGTGAGATCGAGCGCAAAGTGGTCGCCGTCGGAATCTCGAATCTGTTGATTGATTGTCCCGCAATGCTCGAAGCTCCATACAATGTGTTCTATCCTCGCCTGTTGGCTACATTGGTGGAATTCTTTGAGCTCCCGCAAGATCAAAGCTTATTACCGGAGGACGATGTATTCCCGGAATTCGATGACACGGTCGGATACCAGGTGGGCTACAGCCAACTCGTCTGCGCGAGAAGTCCACGAAAAGATCCCTTGGAAAGTACGTCGGATTTTCTTCTTTGTCTCTCTTCGTCCGCCATAATTTTTGGATATTATGTTTTCGTTTTAAATATATACAATTTTTATATATACAGATATCGGGGACATACGTTTGCATTTGGCGCAAGGCCTCGGAAGATTGTCGCCGGGACATTTGCCAGGATTGCTGGGCCAGATTCCTGAGCCGAATGCGAACCACTTGAGAAATTATCTCCAAACGGCTGGGATTACTGTTGCATAATACAAGCCATATGTCCGAGATAGATTGAAAATACATCTGATAGCTCGAAAAATAAATAATATCGAACTGAATAAATTGTAATTGAAGCTGGAGAATCCCTTTTATACGGTAATTGTACAATTCATGAAATTCTCTCAACTCAGCCTATTTGTAATTCAAGACGTAGGGAAATATTTGTACCGTATGTGCGTTCGTTTTTATATTACAACTTTGTTAATCATGTATTATTATAAAAAAAAAAATAGAATACGTAAAACTATGTAATTGTATCTGCAATTTCTCTCTGCAAAAACTATCGAGAATAATTTATATTATTCTCTAGTTTAATATTTATTAAATATATTCATTTTATCTCTTTCTCAATTCTTTTTTTAATTAGTAAAATACATAATTATATTTTTTATGTTATACGTACAGTAACATTAGCTTCGGCTCGCAACTTGTTTCTCAAATATTCTTAAAATATAAATACATTTATCGTTAATAATTTATGTTTTCAAAAACTGTCAAAATAAAATATAACAAAAGTTGTAAGTTTTATTAAAACTGCAATTTTAAAAACTTAACTTTATAAATTATAATTGAAAAATAAACACTAACCAACTTTTCTAACCAATTCAAAAGATTCATACTAAGAATCGATATCTTGAATTAAAAATGTCATCAATATAGCTATTGTAAATAAATTTTAAATTAAAATGATTCTTCTTGTCAACTTAGAATATAAATTAATAATATAATATTAATACGCTTATACATGTATGAATCTTTTGAATTATTATTATATATATAATTTAATATTTCAATTTTAAATATATAGTGAGGTGGGAATATTAGCATTTAATAAGATATAAAAGTTTTCATACTTTTATATTGTTAAATAATTCTTCTACATTTTGCCAAAACAATATATAACTTAGCAATAAGTTCTTCGTGAAATGTTCGATAAATATACTTATCATAGAAAATATTCGAAAATTAACAAAAAATACAAATTTTTTATTATTGCAATAATCTATCGATAACTCATTGACTTTCATAGCAACTTCTGATAAGTGTAAAGAGACGTTTAAACTTATGTGTGCAAATATCCATTATAATACGATGAAAGACGTGAATAAAAATTTTATATTTAAATCGAGAATAAATTGTATTTAAATTCGCAATACGTAAATTTGATTTAAATAGCAATAATGCACAAAGTAGTACAATTATAGTAAATCTACCGCTTTATATGTCAATAGAATAAAAAAAAAAAAAATACACATAGCAACAGTCTTACAAGTTTCTCTGCTATAAATAACTATAAGGATTTAATAAATTCGTAGTATACTCAAGAGGATACGATCACTTTATAATGCAATAACTTGCTTATGCTATTGAATTAATGCACTAAGAATTAGAAATTTTCTCCTTGTACGTGGAGTTGAATAACTGTTTATGTATATTCCTCGCAAACTTTGGTGCATTTCTGTATAAAAAATAATATCTGATAAAATCCTTTTCATGATTTCAACCAATTAGTGTCGGGATTGACACAGAATATAGGCTATACATTCTAACCGGGTATCACATACATCACATTTACAATAGTAATATAATTGGCATCTCATAAATATGGCAATGCATATACGTTCATTACTTTTTCAAGATGTTGATAAAACTACGGGGATCAATGCACGTGCTCATTAATAATAGTATGACGTATATAAAACTATTTGTTTCCATTTAGAGATCCACCGCAGAGTGATCCATCAAATTCTTCAACAAACTGTTGGACATTCTGGGGAAGAGAAAGGCATTATATAATTATTCTCATATTACGTTACTGTCATGTATAAAATTTACGGGAAACTTGTGAATAGTATGCTACATCTAGCAATTTCATAATGTTCGCGTAAAATACGTACTTTTTCACCATGTGATCGTAAATATACGATGGAATTATCGTCACCGTGACAATATCTCCACCGTTTTCGATCTCTGTTGTAATATATTTATCCTTCATTCCGACCACGTTCTGTAAAAAAAAAAAAAAACCAATTTATCTAATCCAAAAGTCTATTATCTAATCTATCAAAATAGACAGAAGATACAGCATTGTACAAACCTTTCCATTAATCTCGAGTATCTGATGGTCTGTTAAAAGTCCGTTTCGTGCTGCCGAAGAATCCTTCACCAAAGCAATAACTTTTCCGTTCTTGAATTGAAATCCGATGTAACCCATACTATCTTTGTGCATTGTTACAGTGCGCTCGAATGGTCTGCAATAAAATCGATATTACACATACAACGAAAACGAGAATTAAAGTTTTTGTAAACTAGTGCAGCAAACTGACCTGTCGCGTACAACCACTCTAATTCCGTTGGTATCCGCATTGCGGAAAAGTTTGTGCACTTGCTCCATCGAGTATCCAGCAACGCACACGTCATTGATACTTAAAATCTGATCGCCGAAACGCAATCCGACCATTGCTGCAGGAGAATTCTGGCTCACCAAGCACACAAAGATTCCGTTATTTATCGCGTGAACTCTGACCCCGACTTTTCCATCACCGTCCTTACAAAGTATCAACTGCAAAAAAATGACAAAAATTTATTTATTTGAAAATTGAAATATGCATTTATAATCTTACGATTTTAGAACGTATCTGGTTGATACAAAGCGAATATAAAAATGTGTTTAGCGACAGAACTTTACCTCTCTGATACCGTTTGTTACATGAGCTTTCTGTAAAGCGACTGATTGCCCTGACAAAGGAGCAATCATTCCTGTTAATGGTCCGGTTTTTACATCTGACGAATAGAGTGCAATCTGAAATCATAGTGTTAATTTCTAAATTATTAAGATCATTAATCATCATTAAAACAATTTTTTTATACAATTAAAAAGTTAAATCTAGATGAATTTAACAGTATAATCTTCACATTTATACAAGACATTTTTAGAAATTAGCATTTGATGTTACGTTACTTACATCACTTAGCATTCTGACGTGTGACAAGAGCATATTCGGGCATATTTTGTGCAATAGTTTCTTCATTCAGTTCGAGTCCCATATAATCTCCCAAGGATGGATACAAGGCGCTGGGTGCAGTAGGCATGTAAGTTGGAGCCGAAGGAATCACAGGTCCGGTTGATATCGGTGGAACAACATATCGTGACTCTTCTTGCATCTGAGCCTGTAATATTATTTTATGTTTGTCGATATAACTAGACATTCACGCAGGATATAAATTTAAAACTGTCACAGAGTAAAACTAAAACTACATCTGTAAAACTTTAGACATATTTGATCTCAAAAATAAAATTTTTATTTTAAATACTAGATGTCGTGACAAATTAATTTTTAAAATCAGAGTATCTCTTTATTATGCAAAATATTAGGTAATCAATAAAATCCGTGAAATTTCTTAACATAAAACTTCATAGGTTGTTATCAGCAAAATTGCATAATCTTTGTTGATTATCTGATAAAGCGCAGTTATAATTTTCTATTTAGGTTTATTATAACTTTACAGATAATGATTTGTATCATTTCAAGTTTTATTCTGAATATAGATTATAAATCTTTGACTTACCTTTATCATATTATCTACTTTCATATCTTCAAGTGTAGGATAGAGAGACATTTTGGCTTTTTTTTATGTGAACACTTCTGCAATTAAATACAAAAATATTTTATTATTATATTATTCTTTTTATCAATAAGATTTCTATAATTTAATCTTATTAAAATAATTACAAAATTGTACTTTGTAAAACAGAAGGTTAATAAGTATAAAATTTATTTTAAAAAGATTTTAAAAAGTAAATAAACATTTCTAATCTAGCAATAAATTTGATATTTTTTTACAATTGTTTAGTGTTTGATTTAATCTAATCTAATCTAATCTGAAACAAAATGTTGGTTAGTTCTATTTGATTTTGGAAACAACAAAACTTATTATATTATATAATATGTTTAGAAATAATTAATTAAGCATGCAAAAACACACCCTTGTGTAGACATACACAAATACATACAATATCTTGAATTTTGGCAAATAATATAAAGATAAACTATATAAAAGCAAACAACATAAAAATAAACAAACAAAAGAATTAGTATTTCAAATAACTATAAGATTATTCATCTAGTAGATCTTTCATCATAAAGGCTTAATGTATGAGTCATATACTTCTTTTCCTCATATTAATATACATTCCTAGAAATCGTATATGTAATAAAATGTAATTTATTTTATCTTATAAAAAACTAAAAAACTAAAAAAAAACATTAAATTCTTTTGTTTGCATTTTTTTTGTAATTTTTACTTTTTTGCATATTATAAAATGAGATAAATGTACATGAAATTAAGAAAAATATGACATGACAGATTTAAAATGACACAAAAAGAAACAGGTAAACTTACAAGGATAATATTGCAAAAGGCAAACAACTTAGAAACATTTTAAACAATTTTTACATTGACAATATAGAATAAGCTGTGTATTGCATCACAATTTTAATATGTCATGATAATGGAATGTCATGATAGTAGTATATCATGATAACAACATGACTGATATCTGAAAGTAATAATTCCAACAGAAATATATAATCAACATATTCTAAGAAGAACAATAGAACACTCATGCGAGATATGTTATTGCGTTATTTCACATAACTGTTTTCATACGCATTTATCGTAAATATAAACGTCATTTAAAGTTTCTCCTTCATTCTCTCCTTTTCAATAGAATTTTCGATAGATTTTCATCGAATATTCTGTACATTTATTATGTATAACCAAATGCAAAATATAACATGTTATAATTAGCAATACTAGGTCGAGATAAGTCTACTTACGGTTCAATGATTAATGACATGGAAGATACATGCCAATATTATGATGAATATTTAGTCACATGGAATTACATGACTTACCAACAAGTATCGATTGAAATGCCAAAGCGTTGGCTGCCGCTGTGTTAATACAATTTCAACAGACACTGACGCGGATCGTTAAACGTTGCTGACGATGGTTTATAGATATTTGTTCCTGCCGCAACTTGTCGAAACAATCTGACACAATAGATCTGCTCTTTTTAGCTACACTGGCTGTCTAGTGTCAGTGCTTGAGAGCGGGTCGCTTTTTCGCGCATGCGTGATAAAATTTTAGCCAAGACTCAAACCATTTGGTCTTGGCTAAAATTTTTGAGTTTCGAGTTACGTCATACGATAGCGCTTTAGCTGCTTATCACTTAGGGACCCTAGAAGTAAGGGAAATAAATATCGAAAGACGCGATTAAGGACCATTCTACAATGCGTCGCAAATGCATTCTTACCAGAAATAACCAGAAGTAGCACCTTTTAATTGGTGGTTGCCATCTTTTGCAACTGGCGACGGAGCATTTGCGACGTATTGTAGAATAGCCTTAATAAGAACCGATGCATAGTTTACGGATACCAAGGATAGCAATAGTAGACAGGGGAGGTTTGTCGTCTTCTTTCAATATTTGTTATGATATACAAATCTGTTGTTACATTGTGACAGATTTTGTTTCGGCAAGTTGCGGCAAGAACAAATATCCATAAATTATCGTCAGTAACGTTTAATGATTGTCAGTGATCCGTTGAAATTAAATTAGCATAGCAACAGCCAACAACTTTGATATTTTCTACCGATATTTATCGGTAAGTGTAATTCCACGTAACTAATGTATTCATTATAATTACAGTTATTAGAAATTAGAAACGTTTGCCTCAACAGCAATAACAGCTGTCCGTGATCTCATTCGTAAAAGGTGAATGATAGTAATAGTATTATATATTATTTATTTAAATTTTTATAGATCTCTTAATCATGGTTAAGAATTGTTGCCTTGTGAATTGTAGAAGCGAGTGGATTGCTAATAGTGGTATTACTTTTCACTGGTGAGTATATTTAAGATAATAATCTAAAATTAATGTAATATAACAGTTGCTTTGTTAGAGAAAATTATAACTATTATTAAACTACAAGAAATTTAACATATTTTTTTGCATTTATTGAGATATAAAAATTATATTTTTAGCTTTCCAAAAGATGAAAATATGCGTGAAAAATGGCTTTCAACAATTCCATCAAATCTTTTGAAGACCAAAAATGTTTCTAAGTATGCTACAATATGTAGTAAACATTTTACATTAAACTCTTTTGCTCCGAGTTGTACATCTTTAACTTTTAGAAATGTTTTAACCAAAGATGCCATTCCAACGATATTTGAAGATGATAATGGACATATATTTGAGGTATAAAAACTTTTGTCTTTTATTTATAAAGTTACATCTATTTTTAAAATATAATTTTAATTTAATCCTTATTGTAGATATTAATCAAACCAATATCTCATGATGAAAACTATATGAAAACCTCACATCTAGTTGAACAGGCAAGTAACAATATTGAATTAATGTTTTCATAAAAATAAAATTTTTAAATTTATTTTTGTTTTTTTAGTCTTCTAATTGTACTGTTATTAGAATATGTAGAAATCATTTGGAAAAAATAAATATATATAAGTTAAAAAATTATAAAATAATTTATTTCATATAGAAAACTAATTATTTTTATTTTATGTAGGAAAAGGAAAACGTACCAAGTATTTTGAAATTAGACGTCGGGGTGCAAACTGTAGTACCCAGCTACTTAACTTTGTACAGAAACGAGAAAAAATATAAGCAACAGAAAATACTTATTCTCAGACGCTTACGGAGACGGGAGAAGAAAATGGAAGAGATGAGTAAAAATATTAAAGAAATGACAACTCGTCTAAAAGTTGCGGAAGAAAAAAATAATAGCATCAAAATCTTAGAAGATGCTCTTGTGAAGTATTTAGAGAAAGAAAATAGAGAATTGTTTTTGAACGAAATATGGAACAATTCTTCTATAAAAAAAACGTACACAAAAGACATCAAACAGTTTTCCATGACCATGTATAATTATAGTCCTAAAGCGTATGATTTTTTAAGAGAAAGACTCACTTTACCACACAGTGCAACGTTACGTAAATGGATTACTGAACATAACTCATCCAAAGAAACAAAGGAGAACACAGAAGAACAAAGTTGAAGGAAAAGGATTTGTTTTTTTCTTCAACAGTATTCTCTTGAAATGTGAAGAAATAGATATATTTTTCATTCCGTCGATTTTTATTATTGAATCGAAGAGAAAAAATGAAAAAGTTTATTTGTGATAATAATCTCATTTGACGACTGTACTCAGCTTGAAGTATATTATGACATTTGATTACTGTACTCACAATCAGCAGAGATTATTAATACTAAATATATATTAAGTATTAATTTTAATTAAGATCATTAATTGTTATTATTATTATATAATATATATTATAGTATGTTATATATATTATTATTTTTTAATAATATTAATTATATATATATATATATATATATATATATATATATATATATATATATATATATATATTTATATCATATGAATCTATTAATATAAAAATATTTTTATTGCGATATATGAAAGATTTAAAAAAAAGATTATATTACAATAAATCTAATCAAGTTTTTATTGAATTAAATTTATGTTACTATAGAAAAAGAAATCAGTTATACATTAACTTCATTTATCTTTAATTTATATAGTTTATTTGAAACAGATAGAATAGATAGAATCAATGAATTATATGATATACTTGAATACAACAATAATGAGTGAGCTTGAAGATAGAATTTTTCAGAGAATGTTTTTAATTCAGGCTTTACAATACAGATAATCGTTGCTAGCCAATCAAAAACGTTGCGACAAAGCAAATACTCCCCGGCAATATAGCTTTCTCTTTTGCCTAGGAGTGCCATGCCTACTCCTTTAAGACTTTCTCCAGAATGTTATGGAGTTCAATGACTCAATCGGAAAATAAACCGAACAAATCTTTTGTGGAATGGACACTTATTAATTTTATTAATGAGGTCACTGCAAATACGCCTTTTTCTAAATCTAAATATATTAATTTAGGTAATCTTTTCTATTAATCTGCTAAGTAACTTAAAATAAATATTTCAACGACGGAATATTAAAGAGGTAATTATTATTAAAGATATAATGATATTTATAATATTATCTTTTTATCTTGTTTGTATATTTAATAAATAATAAAGATTAAAGTCTACTTAATAGACGTAAGTCCTGAATAACGATTATTAAATGATAATTGATTAAATATTTGTAAAAAATGTTGAAGATGTATGTATATATGCAAACATTTAATTAAGTAAAACAATATTCTCGATGTTTCATAAAACAAGTTATCTAACAGGAGAAGAATCGTTTAAATTTAGCGGAAAAACGCCATAATGCCTTTTCCTGTCACATGACTACAATTATAAAGATGACAGTATAGTGCAACGAGTGCAACCGGCTGTCAATTGGAGATCGCTATTCCCGCGAGATGTATTTCGACGAAATTATTTGAATAATTTATTTGAATATCTGAAAATTGCATATTGCAATCAAATTATAATTTACAGTAAGTATTTGTTTTTTAATGAAATTTATCTTTGCATCTTGTATTAGACTCGAATGTAAAAATTAATTGTTACTCTAAAAATAATCGAAAAATCATTGATTTTCTTTATTCTTATTCTCTGTTCATTCTTTTTAACAGATGATGTCTACAAGATACGTGTCGTTTCTCTCGGGAATAGTGATAGCTTCTCTGACGTGGGCGTTTAGCCTGTATCTTTATTCAAGATTGTCACAAAACACCATCACTGCTAATCCCACAATGCTATCACCTGGCATTTATATTCGTGGAGAAAACAATGACAAAGAGTTTATGTTACGTGACAATGTCGTCATTCCTCGCGATGAAGCTTTAGTCGGTAAAAAAGCCTATAACTTGAAGAGCAATAAAGATTACAGGAGCAATGAATTACTTCTGCAGCAGTTGCAACCTGTTCCAGTGAAGCCTGCGGTAACCTTAGATCAAGGTATTACATTCTGGATATATTTAAGATTAATATCAGATAAGTTTTCTTATTTACGGATCTAATTAAGTGAATATTGCAATAGATTTGGATGAATTAGGCATGGTGAAAAATCTGGAAGATCAAAGAAAGAGAGACGAGGGATACAAAAATTATGCCTTCAATGTTCTGATATCAGACAATCTTAGCATAAGAAGAAATATACCGGATACCAGGCATAAGTTATGTCGGGCACAAAAATATCCTGCCAATCTGCCAAATGCTAGTATAATTATTTGTTTCTACAATGAGCATTACACGACGTTATTGAGATCTTTACACTCTGTGATGGAGAGAACACCGGTGACGCTACTACATGAGATTATTCTGGTGAACGATTACAGTGACAGCAGTGTGTTACATGAAAAGCTAAAAGTATATATTAAGAACAATTTTGACGCTAGAGTGCGATTATTTAAGACGGACAAGAGAGAAGGTTTGATCAGAGCGCGAGTGTTCGGAGCGAGAAAAGCAACCGGCGAAGTTTTAGTCTTTTTGGATAGTCATATAGAAGTAAACGAGATGTGGATAGAGCCGCTTATTTCAAGAATTGCTTTTTCGAGGACCATTGTATCGATGCCAATAATTGATATCATAAACGCGGACACATTCCAATATACTGCCAGCCCGTTGGTGAGAGGCGGGTTTAACTGGGGCCTTCACTTTAAATGGGATAATCTGCCGATTGGAACATTAAAACACGACGATGATTTTGTAAAGCCTATCAAGTAAGACAGTTTTTTTATTGTATGTATAAATATATTTAATCAATACTCATATAATACACTTCTTCATATCTATAAAATGAATATTTATCGATATCTCTAAAGTAAATGAATATATTTCATTAACAAATAGATCGCCAACAATGGCCGGAGGATTATTCGCTATTGACAGAGAATATTTTACAAAAATGGGAGAATATGACACTGGAATGGACGTTTGGGGTGGAGAAAATCTTGAAATATCATTTCGAGTAAAAATTTACAATATTTTTTCTTCTCTTTCCAAATCTATTTTGCTGTATACGTAATATTATCAATGTTTTTTTTTAGATATGGATGTGCGGCGGTAGTATCGAGCTACTTCCCTGTTCACGGGTGGGCCACGTATTTAGAAGACGACGGCCATACGGCTCGGATGATCCGCACGATACGATGTTAAAGAATTCCTTGCGCGTTGCGCATGTATGGATGGATGAATACAAGGATTACTTCTTGAAAAATGTCAAAACAATTAACTATGGCGACATTTCAGAACGATTAGCTTTACGTCGCAAATTAAAATGCAAGACTTTCGACTGGTATTTAAAAGTAGTTTATCCCGAGTTAACACTGCCAGATGACAATGAAAAACGACTGAAGGATAAATGGGCCAAACTTGACCACAGACCGACTGCAGCCTTGGCACTCGAGAAAAAGAAATTATACCGATCAATACCAAATTAGACTTTCAAATTCTGTACTTTGCATTCAGAGCGAAAAGGACATCAAAACTAAAGGCTCAAAACTTTTCTTGATGCCTTGTTTAAGAATTAAATCACAGGTAAGCATTAAATATGCTGTTAAAGAATAAGAATTTTATTACTTTGCGAATAATTTATATTTTACAGATGTGGTACGAGACGGATAAAAACGAACTAGTGCTTGGCCAAATGCTTTGCATGGAAGGAGCCGAGAAGATACCGAAGCTTGGAAAGTGTCACGAAATGCGTGGAAATCAGGATTGGCGTCATAAGCGTATTGTAAGTTTTTCTATTGTTGTATCAACTTTTAAACGACTGTGTTAATAATCGTAAGATTCTTCAGTTCAGATCGTTCAGATTTGAATTTTCCTTTCTTTTCGCACAGCGATTAATATACGAAATATTGTTACTTTTTTAATGCGAGTATTTATTAGTTATTTAAATTTATTGAAGTAATCGTTGCTTACAATCCGTATTTATTGAGAATTTTTAATATTTTTAATATAGAGTGATACACCTATCTACAACATGGCAGCAGGAACTTGCTTAGGAGTGATTCGTGATGCAAGGAATGCTCAGGTTATCATGGATTTATGCACAAAATTAAACACTTCGCTGATAACCTGGGATCTTATCCGTTCAAAAATTCCATCGAAAGAAATTAGATGACGTAAAAAGAAGGGGCGTAAAAATAGAAAGAATAACTATGAAGATTGGCTTGGAAGGAAATGGTAGATAAGTTGTATATATCTCACATACACATGATTATAATTAGATATAGAATATTCCATATTTCATATGCATATCTCGAATTTTAATTATACTAGAAACAATAAGAAACTATCTAAGCATAACTCTAAAACAATTGAAAGTATTATAAATGTATAGTAAGAACAATTATATAAAATATTGAATATCTGTTTAATACTGTGTATATAGGAAAAAAAATTTTTATTATACATTTGCTATTTCTTATATACAAGTAGATGTAAAGTTTTTATCTATTTTTAATAATTTTAGAAAATTTATATTTATTACTTTTAATTTGTTATAACAAATGCTCTCTGTATTATGTTTTTAAGCAAATAAGAGCCTACTGAAACATGCTCAAATTTTGTAAAATTATACTTTAAAACGTATTTATATTGATGTAATTTTATTTAAAAAATTTTGTAAAATATATTTATTATAAATATTAATTTTGTGTAATTTATTTCTAGAATTTGACATTAATAAATATAATAATAATTTACGTATAATAGTTACACATTTATACTTATAATAGTTATAAGTAAACTTGTAATAACTTATAATTTTTCGCTGGAATTGAGGACGCGATTAGGCGTCTTCTGGCCGCTGAAACGAACGCGATAGAGCGTTCTTTGGCTGCTAAAGTTGATAGTCTTGCTTTATGCTTTTCTCTTAGGTTAAAGATGACATGAAAATAATTGAAACTAACCTATTCTGATCTATCAAAACAATAATACGCGGTAAAGAAAAGAAAAGCAATTGCAATAATTAGCAAGAATGACTACTTCAAAAGAATTAAGTTTAGCTAAAAAGAATCTCGTAGCATCGCTTGGTGACAACGCTAAAGTGTAAGTATTTTTAATTCATATAAAGATTGAAATTAAGAAGTAATACTAATTTATTAGAATTAATATGAATCATTTTATAATTATATCTTTAAAACTGTTTTTAATATTTATTTCTCTTTAATAGATATTTTGAAAAAATGAAGCTATGGTTTCAAATGAAGGTACATAAATTTTTGAATTAGATCTCATCTGGTACATTTTGCACATTATTTATAAAACTGATATTTCAGACCACAAAGGAAGAATTTGATAGCGAAGCACGTACTCTTATGACAGAAGACCAAGTGCGTTTGCATAATGAATTTCTGCTATGTCTTTTTAATAAAGTTCGTGGGTTAGCCGTCACGCCAACTTTTAAGGTAGACAGAGATTCAAAGGAGAGGAGATTAAAACGCAAATACAGAACAGATAAATCTAATTTTGAGGTTTGTAAACACGTTAATTGTGACATTGCATTCTGACATTAATAATATAACAATTTGAATTGTTTCTTTAACAGCCAGCAGATATGTACGTGGAAGTACTCAGTCAAACTTCTTCGCCTGTCGGAGATGAACCTATAGGTGCTAATCGTTCTAGTGCTCAAGAACTTGTATTACCAGATCGGACTTTTGTACTAGCTCGATTAATGCTCGCTGCATGGGAAAATAATATGGATGGAGCTGAAGAAAACACTGCACATATTGTCATAGCTGCAACACAAATTTTTTTAAAAAATATACTCACTGCAATCTTTACACAAAGGAAAGGATATGCCGTCCGGGAGAACTCCTTTATTTATAATATAGGAGAACCAGTACCTAGTTCATGGAAAAGAAACTCTATACATATAACACCATACAATTTTGGGTAAGAGAGAGAAAGAGAGTTACAAACATTAATTTTAAAGTTATGTATATAATTTAAAAATATTTTAATATCTTAAAAACATAGGCCGACAGAAGTAATAGAACATTTCCAAGTTCCTGTATCAAAACCGTTTTTCGAAGAGGCTGAACAAGCTACTGCTTTTGCATATGCTTGTTCTACACAAATACCCCGCCCTCCATTAAAACCAGTTAGCACAGCTGACTTGCAACACGCATTAAAGGTAACAATAGAGAAATCTGCTGATGTAATCAATATGTAATACGTTTTTTGATCGGTTTAATTTTTCCAGATTTATAAGAATCTTGTTAATAATCACACAATATATGCTACAAATATGGAGCGACTGTATACGTATGCTACTCATCCAACATGGGAAGATCTGGAGGCAAGAAAATTATTATTACATTCTTCAACATAAAAAGAGAACTTTACATACGAATAATTTCTATTATAGTTTCAATGTTTTCTTTTTTTATGTAATAATTGTTTATCAAACTAAATTATTAAAATAAACCTATTCAAATTACATATCACATCTGATTTCTTTTTTCAAAAGATACAAAATATGAAAGGCATATTTCAATTAAAATATTTAAAGTTTTCTTAATTCTACATTACTCCTTTTATTATTTTTATACAGAATTATTGCAAATTATATTTTTTTTAATATTGTGTAAATATAACATGCTTATAAATTCATTTATATATTTAAATAATAAAGCATATATGGTAATATGACATATAAAGGATAATTTTTCTTTTATAATCTTGTATATTGTATTTACATTCTTATTTGAAATTTGCCAGCTTTAGTAATGTACTTGACACCTTTGAACGGCTTGTACTTTTCGCCATACATGTCTAATCGATTTACCTTCAGTCCAGATACCGCTAATTGATTGATCGTAAAATGCACCTGAAATTAAGAAATCAAATGTTTAATTAAAAAAAAATTCCATACTATAATTATATATATTATACATACATTAATCGCAGGATTGGATTCAGTAACAGTTGCTGAGTTTTGTATCGTAATCTAGAATAAAAAATTTTCCAGCGTTATTACATAATTATTAGATATATATTTTTCAATAAATTGCGATTATCTTACCGATCCTCTAAGATTTGGTAATTTGGAAACATCAATCCTTCCAATGTCCCATAGCAGTACCTTACTGACAGGATCGAACGAATATTTTCCTTGATTTGGAGTCAGAGTGCAATTTAATACTATTTTCGGCATGGGAATTTCGAGAGTCACATTTTCAACCTGTACAGTATTTCTAATGATAGTAATAATAATAGTAATAGTAATAGTAATAATAATGAGATAATGATAATGATAGCAATAAACTTTCAATCTTAGCAAAGATAACTCACCGTTCTGCCAATAGTTTGTTTCGGTCCGACAGTTATATCTAATCTGCCACCTCCTGGTTCTTTTAAACTAATGTTGTGTCTTACATATATCGGAATTGCTACAATACTTTGTGATCCTATATGATATGAAAGCAAGCGGAAGTTGCCGTCAGGTGGAATAAAAGAAAGTATTCTTTCCGACTGAAACAAAATATAAACTGGAAATTCATTCTTGTATAAATTAGATAATACATATACGTTACATATTTTTCTAATGCATACCTCCCATCTTTTGAATCGAACACAGGGATGAAAGCTAACGTCGTCAAATAATCTTGGATTCATGAATGAAAGCGTGAGATCTGGCATACCGCTTAATTTTATACAACAATCAATCTAAAAAGTTAATTACATAATTAATATACTTAATATTATAGAATAGTTTGAAAATTAACTGCAAACACATACGTAGCCTTGAATTTCTGCAAATACCGTCGCTCCAGTTCGATCAATAATTGCATCCACTTCCTCGACAACATCAAAGTAAGCCTCATTGTTGGTATATTTCACTCCCGTACGCCTCCAAGGAACATTAGACAGTTGTCCACTCGGTAGAATTGCACTGACACTACAATTATTGTTATAATTAAAAAATGTGTGAAACAAATTTTTGCATAAATTCATATAAATGTGCAAATCATACTGATGTATAATTACTTAGATTTTCCTGTAACAGTGTTCGCTATGGTGCGCAAAATGTTGGGTGGTTTGATCAATTCCTTCAATATATTGGACTCTGTGGCCAGTGGAAAACCATTATCCAACATCTCGTCTAATAATTCATACACAACCACATAATTCTCCTTTATGATTGTTTCTGTACATTCGTTGAAATAGTCCTCAAAGGTGTCTACTACCCTATGTAAGAATTCAATGACAAACAATGGTGGAACTGAAAAAGAATATTTATAATATTATCTTGTGAGAATCATACAATTAAATGATACAATTTATCAAACCAAGCTTACCTTCTGTCATGCATACCGCCACAAAGAACATGTTACAACGATATATACTAATAAGATAATGATGTGGAGTTGCTATCACTGGTGGAGTGTCTTCAGGGGACAGAACCCTTCGTTGTTGATCGAAGAAATAGTCGCAAAGTGAACGTGCAACCGCACTCTTCCAATGTTTTTCCATGAAGACATCTCTGCAAACATATGCAGAAGATCGTTAGAACAAAATGCCATGTAATCATTCAGTAATGCGCTTAAATGTTAAAATTTTAATTAACAGCGATAGAGAACATTTATTATTCCATACAAGCGAGAGCTGATGTCTGTAAACTGTCAATCTGTCAAGTTTATGACAGTTTGCTTTGACACTTACCCCGAGGAATTTATAATAAAAAGACTGTGTATCATTTTCGCAATGTATGATATACGTTTGGAGAAAAACTTAAGCTACGTGATGTGACCGCACACACATTGATATATAACAAATGATCGAAAAATATTGTACACATCAACCACTCTTACGCCATGCTGGGGGAGTAGAGAGCGGGCCAGTTGCTACCATGCTACCGGCATCTAGCGGTATGATTCGATCTCTCACTTCAACAAGTAATGCTGGCAAGTCATGTCTGTTTAATGACTTTTTTTGTCGATATTAATTGTGTAAAATATATACCTTTTTGAGATGTATCTGGTCGGATTAACAGGTGGCATAGCCACAGGAAAAAGCACAGTCGCCGCTGTATTTCGCGAGTATGGTATTCCTGTTATAGATGCTGATTTAATCGCTCGAAAAGGTTAAGATATTTTGCTTTTGGTACTGTCAGCCTTCAAAAAAATATATTTTGAATATCACTTTGTCAACGCGTTATATTTCTTGTGTACTTTTATTTGTTAAATAACATTTATATTAATATCATATTTTTTTCGTTCTCCAATGTGTTTGCTCAGTGATTTACATTAAAAAGTATAGTATATTCTATTACTAAATGGAATATATATTAAATTTATATTTAATGCTTTTTGTGTATATACTTTGAAAAAAAAAATAATAGAAATGATAGAAAACAATGTATGTAATGTATATTTGCAGTTGTTGAACCAGGAAAACCAGCGTGGCATAAGATAAAAAAAGAATTTGGTCCAGATGTGTTTTTGGATACCAACTACTTGGACAGAGCAAAACTTGGCGATTTAATCTTTAACGATGTTGAAAATAGGAAGAAACTTAATGCTATCACGCATCCTCCTATATATAAAGAAATATATTGGCAAACTATTAAATACCTCTTACAAGGTTATGCATTCATAGTCTTGGATTTGCCATTGCTTTTTGAGACAGGACACATGTTGAATTACTTGCACAAAATTATAGTTGTAACATGGTAAATATAAATCTCAAACAATATTGTCACCAAAATGATATATTATCAAGACTGTAGAGTATATAAATTTTAGTTCCCATTTCTGTAAATTATTTGCATCTTGTTTATTGATTCTAGTGAGGAGGATCTTCAGTTACAACGATTAATGGAACGCAGTGGATTTACAGAAGCTAAAGCAAAACAAAGGATAACCGTACAGATGTCCTTGGATAAGAAAGCAGAGATGGCGAATTTTGTAATTGAGAATTCAAGCAGTATAAAAGATACTAGAGAACAGACCGTAAAAGTAATTAATGTATTACGATCCTCCAAGCATCATTGGAAGTTGCGTGTTATAGCAGGATTTTGTTGTACCATACTGTTAGCTGGCGCATACTGGTTGAAAAACAGAAGTTCTAGATTGTCCGCAGCAACATAAAATTATGTCCTATTGGAGTAAACCGGTGTAGACGAGTAAGCATTTGTTTCCTTATTAGTTATTAATTGTGGTTGCATAGTGATATAAAAGTGATTTAGTTATAGAAATACAAGATAGAGAAAAATAGATAATAACATTCGTTAAATCGCGGTAATGGTTATTACAAGTGTAGCAATAATTTTTGAAAGAATTAATACGTGCAATAAAAATCAATTTTCTTACGCGAAAATGAGATATTCATGCATATTTTAAGCATGTGCAAATTGTAATAACGTTCCATTTGCGTACAACCATTTCTTTGTAAAGCGCTATATAGCTATTGTTTTATATGTAATTGAGCAAAGAAATGTACAGAAATATACATCGTGTGTCATGTGCGTGTACTTCGTGTACATGTATGTATGCCTGCAAAGTGCATGTATACTGCGCAATAAAAAATTATATTAATATAGAACGAGAGTAACGAGAACAATCTGCCCCACGCGATCAATAAGACAGAAAGAGACATAAAGCGGAAAAATAGAGAGATGATCGTTCGCAACCAATTAAATAATTCTGATCGTTAAAACGAATTACATTTAGTTGCAGTTCTTTGTATCATCTATATCAAAAATGTGTGTTCGTGAGAGTGTCATGTAATTAGTTGAAGCATTTATTAAACCGGATGTATAACGGCATTCAATAATAAACGAAAAAATGGATATTTGGCTACTAATTCGACTGTCTACTATAGCATTTCCTTTTTATACATCTTTTTATTATCGAAATAATGAAATCGATAATTTTTATGTATAACTTAATTATTCATATAGAAGTTCTTGCGCTTCTAAAAACTAGAAGATAAAAACACACACCACCACATTTATCTTTTCGTTTTTTTCTTTTTTTTATTTTAATAAAGTGCTCTTTAACATAAATTTATACGTAATTATACATTTGTATGCATATATAAAATACACGAGTACGTAGTGCTCAATTTCTTAAGACTAATTATCGCAAAATATATACAAGTATATCAAGTCGTGACTAATAACAAGATCGCGAAATTAGGTGTACGCCCATTTGGTTTGCAACGCATTTCTCGCACTGCAGTAACACTGCGTATGATTAATGCGCTTGTAGATCGTGGGCCACGTATGAATTTTTCATTGCTTTTATACTTTAGTAGCCTAACAGAACAGCTGCTTGCTTAAGTAAATCATAGAAATCGGCAAAGAACCGTAATAAGTACTTAATTGAAGTATTAATTTGTAAATAATCAAATTGCTTATTAAAAATGGAAGTATAAAATTTCTTTCGCGTAAATAAAGTAGCAACGAAATACTATGTACAGCATCGCGTACAAGGTTCTGTGAAATCGGCTCGAAGTAGTGCGCGAATCCTTCCGTTAGATACTTTTCTTAAGATATATACTATATATTCCTTTATATATATTTTCTTAAGATATACTATCTTTATATATATATAATTATTTTTCTTTGTACTTATTTTTTTAACGTAGTAACTCATATTTAATTTAATTACCTGTTACTTATGCTTTCTTACCATTTTTGTCTCTCACTTGCCTATTAGTAAAATTTCAATTAAACTTTATGCAAAAGTGAGAATAATGACACTATGGCTGCGTTCCGAAATTCACCGCCAGTACTGAAAATCTACAATATTACGTAACGTAAACTGCAGATTTTCAGTACTGGCAGTGAATTTCGGAACGCAGCCTATATATACTGTGATGCGATCAAAACAGAAAAAAAGAAAAGAACATGGAAGGACTGTAATGCCATGATGTAACTATTCTTTTGAATTATGGATTGTCATTTCTATTATTCTAAAACTATGCACACTTTGGACATATTTGCCGGCATCGTCGACGATTATGTAATTAATCATTTGTATATTCCTAATTACATACTACCTACAGAGGAAAATAATGAATTTTTTTTTTCCTGCCACAGATAAGATCAATCTTATAAGAGTATGTGTGCAAGAAACGAAGCTAGAATCGATATTCTTCGCGATACGCTCTACTGGTCTTCGCGGTAAATAACAGAGTAGAGAGTGTCAAGATATTTAAGATTAATTACATTAATAAACGTTTTCGTTCACGGCGGTGACATATCATTCCACAGCCGCTGGTGTCTCCGTTTCTTGGATATACTTATGAAAGAAAATATTTACTTGGAAGATGGACGCGCATTATATCCTTAACTTGCCTACATAGTGTAATGTACACATATCTTATTAGATACAAGTGTTTCCTCTACCTTTGGAGCGCAACTTACTGCAAGACAGGCCTAAGTTCTTGAGTCATGATGGGATAAGAAACGAGAGGCGCGGTTGGGCCGGATATTGACAGAGGTAAGCTAGCAGGCTGCTGCGTGTTAGGTGGTTGCTGATTAGCCGCTTGAGGCGGCCCGGAGCCACTCATCGAGATCGTTTGTTGAGCCATGGTGACGATCGGCGGCGGTATCGAGACCGGCGCCATCGAGACGGCCGCGATAGAGACGGGTGCTACAGTCGCGATGCTCACAGGAACGGTGGCCACGCTGGCGGTGACCGTTCGAAGAGTGCCCGCGGCCACGGCCGCGTTAACCATTTGCTGCGGCACCGTCGGCGCTTGCGACGGCGGCACCGTATTCGTAATCGTGACCGCCGGGACTGTCACCGCCGTCACGTTCGCCGGCCGCTTGCCCGACATTCTCAGCTGGGCGTTTTGATCCAGCAAGAATTCATTCGTTGCCGTGAGATCGCTCACCTGAAAATCAAAATAATATATCGTGTATGATGGAAATTAAATGGATATCCCGCGACATTTGTGTACTTTTATATTGCGGGGTTTTCACTTTAATTTACCTGCTTCTTCAATTCATCTATTTTCTTCCTCAACAGTACGTTCTCGTCCTCCAGTACGATCGCCCTTGCTTCATTACGCGGTATCACGGGGTAGTAGTAACTCGGCGTGACCGCCGGTTGAGTGGCGTGCTGCTGACCCACCAATGGAGAGGCCTCGAAGTGGACGACGGTCTCGCCCGACACTATTCGCCTCTTCGGTTCCGGCGGTCCTATGTAATCGGTTGGCTGCGACGATGTGTTGTAGCCGCCGTTGTTGGCAATCAAGTTGTTATGCTGATCCTCCATTGGCCAGTGAAAACTGCATTTATAAAACAAAAACTTTAATCCTCCTTCAGATTCGATTTTTTACCGCGAATAATTATCATATAAAATGTTGAGAAATCTCCATAAAATTTCAAATTTATACACAACGAAAAAACTATAAGAATTTTTCTTTCAGAATTTACAAAACCCTATCTATATCACTACTCTATTGATTGATGATAAAAAATTGTTGCGCCTCGACATCCGCGCTTTGATTCTTATAGTTTCTTTGTTAGTCTTTTTTTTGTCATTATAGAACCATTACATAACTTTAAAGTTTACATTTACTTATGTAGCAAAAAACAAAGCTGTTCAATTACGATGCTCACTTTCTGTCTTCCTCGAATCTGCGGTTGTCGCCGCCGACGCTGCCGCCGTTGCTGGTGCCGTTGAAATTGTGCTGCGGCCTGGACGCATTGTGATGCGACGGCGATATCAGGTTATGCTGCGGCTCCTCCTTCTTCCAGTGTCTGAACTTGCAGTTCGTTCTCAGGCAGCTGCCTTTAATGAAGTCCTTGCACAACGGAAACTCCGACTTGTCGCTGTTACTGTTCTTGGTGCGATTGAGGACGTGAGGCGGCAGTTCGCCGGTCGCCCGGAAACGCTTCTCCTCGCTCTCCGTGCAGTGGAGAAACTTGCAGCCCGGCCAGTTGCACATGCCGTTCTGAAAGTCGTGGCAGAAGGTGTACTCCTCCACGGGATCGTCCTCGGAACGCTCGTGCAGATACTTGCAGCGCTTCCCTCGATGGCACACGTTTCTCAGGAAGTCTCTGCAGATTCGGTTCGCCGTGTCGGAAGTGTCCGTCGCGCTCGCATTCAATCCGCCCGCCATATCGCTCGTCTGCCCTGATACGCCCGTCGTTCCGTTGTCCAACCTTCTCTTCAGTTTTCTCATCGATGGAGCATAGCGACCGTACGTCCCAACGTCGTCCTCGTCGTCGTTGATATCCTTCGATCAACTCCGGCGATCCGACTAAGCACGATTACCACGCGTACGTCCCTAAATAAAAGAGATAACGATGGATTCATTAGTTTATTGTCAGCTTCGTTCGGGAGAAAGAGTGAAGCTGTGCTCAACTTCGTTCTCGACAAATCGCTCGCCATCTGGAAAGCGCGAAATAAACTGTTAAATTTATGCTCTACTCTCGTACCTGCAATACATTCTTACGCAAATAATAGGTTATTGCGGGAAAATTATAAAAAAATGTACACCTTGATTAATTAAGTTAATTTTTATCTTTATTTTTTTCCCTTTTTGTATAATGACTATTACATCGGTAGTAAGATTATATCAACAATTTCTATGTACAGCATTTATTTACCATATTTACTTTGATAATTTGACGCGCGTGCCCAATCCGCCAAATAAGCGCGCCTGCGAGCAAGCATGTTTTTTTGGAAAATCTCACGCACACCTTCTTTTGTTCATCGCGACACACAATGATCCATTATCTAATGCGGTAAAAGTAGACGTATGCTACGAGCGATGGCACTCTCTAATTAAACTAACGAATTAAGAAAATACTGTCAATTTTTGTTTTCACGTCAGGTTCGTATCAAAAGAATTAATAGAAAACTACGATTATATCGGATTTTCTCGCATTAAGACGATAAGTGATATCAAGGCCATTCCATGGTAGAATCGATAGAACGGTATTGAAGTGCTGAGAAATTCTCATTATCTTTTTTTTTTCTTTCCTTTCCTTTTCAAGAAGTAAATACATTTCGCTTATTTATTATTTGTTAGGCTCAAACAAATATGATCCTATATTGTCACGCTACCCATATACGAAGGAAAGAAATGATCAAAGCGTCATCATCGTGCAACCAAGTTGGAGGATCTAAGATTTCACCGCATTACGATGCGTTTCGCGATTAATTGCCGCTCGAGAATAAATGGGCTTATGATTAGAAGAGACGCGAGAGTAACGCTGTAACATATAATATATGCATACTAATATATATGAATGCGACGATCAACCTTCTCTCTCTTTCACACACATACATACATACTCTCTCTCCCTCTCTCTCTCTCTCTCTCTCTCTTTACTCACTCTCAAAGTCATTCTCAACACTCTAAAGTCGCCCTCAACTAAAGAGTTTAAAAAAGCATGTTACTTAACTCGAATGGTGATTATGTTTGGAGTATGTAATCGTTACGCGCGCGAGAGTTCGCTTTCTACAATTATTTATATACAAACGATATGAAGAAAGTTTAGAAAAAAAGATGGGAAGTGTGCGCTGCGAGAGTGTTACTCGTAAATTCTATATAGTCGCAGCGAAAGGGTACGTATTCAAATCTTCAGAGCATGCCATGCTAGAAACAACATCATCTTCGAACAAACGAAACGTACAAAACGAAACACGTATTGTAAATCGGATTTGAGCCATATTATAAGATATGATACTCAGTAACTTGGCAGCATGTTGAACATTTTACGTGGTATCGTACCTACATTTCACCTTCAGCCTACCTTTTACCTCCCCTAGAGAGCCCTTGTTTCCATATACATACGTGATATATTTGCATAAACGATTCTCCTTATTGCCACCCCCTTTGATCACGCTCCAGCTTTATAAAGCGTAAGTAACGCGATAACGATCGTACTCAATATCGGAATTGATTAGGAGAAATATCTCTATTATCCCCGGATTGAAAAATTAAACGAATATCAATATATATATATACAATTCTTAGCTTTTGTTCGTATAAAAAACATTCAATTGCATCGACATTTACGCATTATTTGTGCTCAATCCGCCATCGGCGAAACAATTAACGAGACGTTAGTTTTGCGCTCGACATATTATCGAAAGAACGAACGGAAAACGAAAGGCAAAACCATTTGTCGCGCGGTGCGCTTTTGTATGTACACGTACGGAAAGGAATATATGTGTCAGAGACGCGGAAGGGGAACGAATTAGAACAGTTTCTCCCACAGCATCCACAGCAGCATGATCGCGATCGGTGCCACGTAGTGTATCGGTATGGCGTAACTCGCGCCCAGCAGATCGCCGCACTGCGCCTTGAGGGTCGTGTACTTCTTCGACAGTTCCGCCTTCTCCTCGACGAACGCGTTGTACTTTTCCTTCACCATCACCAGCTCCTCGTTCACTTCCTGCATCCGCTGCGTGTCGTTTTTCGCGCGGTAGTACAGCTCCTTCAGCTTGTCGATGACGACGTCGCACGGCTCGCGGATCAGCCAGTCCTTCAGCTCCTCCAGCTCACGCTTCACTATCTGCTGCGCCTCGAGACTGTCCTCGCCGCGCAGGGAGTCGAGAGAGCCGATGAACGTCTGCAGTATGTAATCCCTGGAGTGAAGTGCTTGCTGCATCGCGTCGTTCTTCACAACGGGCTTCAGGGTCTTGATGTAATCCACCTCCGCGCGGTCCTCGCCGTCCGGTGCCCGGCCGTGCCCGGTCACTTCGTCTCGACCCGGCTTGGTCGCAGCGTCGACGACGGAAACATTGATCGGCGTCTTGATCGCTTCTTCCAGCGCGATCTCCGTCGCGTCATAGTCTTCGGCGCTTTGTTCCGTTGGCTCGTAATACGCCTCCGCTAGCTCGGCTTTGGCATTGATGTAGAGAATCTCCATTTTACCGCGCGCCGACGTCTCTTTCGACGCTTCCTCCATGATGCTCAGGTCCTCCTTCTTATTCTCTATAACAGACTTTTCACTCGTATCATCGTTAATACTGCACGTGTCGTCGGTCGCCTCCGAGTTCGTGTCAGAGTCCGCGTTCGTGTCACCGTTGTCCAAACTCGCCAGGCTGCCGTTGACCAAGGTTCTCCTGGACAGCGGCGGTGGCAGGATGTACTCCGTGAGATTGTCGTCCGTCATCTGCGAGTCATCCAGTTGATCCTTGGTGAAGGACGAGTCGGACTTGAGCTGCTTCAAATCCACATCCGGCGAATTTATCTGATTATCCTGCTCGGTTTTGGACGAATAAAGATTGATGTCGTCTATCTCGATATTGTCGACGTGAATGGAGTTCAATTTGTTGAGAATCGTGTTTATAGCCTCAATGGGATCCTCGTAGCCCTTCGAGTCGAAATTCTCCACTCCTTCCAGCTTCAGATTCATGTCCTGCAGGGTTTGCGTGTAATTTCTCAGGGCAGTGATCTGCTTGTAGATGTTCACCGAATCCAATCGCGAAGCGCACAGTCTCGCCCATAAATTCTTCTCGATTCTCGACTTATCGTCGAGCCGCTTCGCGAGATCCTGCTTCTCCTGCTCGGCGATTAGCAACACGTCCTTCACCTTGTCCTCGCTCTCCAAGAGTTTGTTCGTCGTCTCCTGCAGTTTCTTCTGCGTTTCCGCGTACTTGGCGCTGAGCTCCTGGAGCTCCGTTTGAGTGTACTTGGCTACGTTGTGCAAACTCTGGCATTCCTCCTCCGTTTCGTTCAGACGTCCCTCCAGTTGCACCAATCTCTGTGTGACCTCCAGCTTCTCCTGCAGAACCTTCTGCAACGCCTCCTTGGCGGCGTTCTGATATTGCGCCTTTTCATCCTGAAGCTTCGCTAACTCGTTCCTGATCTTGTCCTCGGTGTAATTCTTGGAATAGACTGCCAATTGATTCTCGACTGTCACCACCCACGATAGCAGACGATCCTCCGCGATCAACGCCTTCCACGACTGGTTAGCGGCCTTCCGAGTGTTCTCCACCAGCTGCTGCAAGTAACCCAGTTTAGAGTACAAGGCTTTCTCGCGTCTTGAAGCCTCCTGCATCACTTGATTAAGCTTATAGAGATCTTCCAGAGACACATTTCCGGCGGGCGAGCTGACGGAGGTGCTTAGGCTTGCTTTAGCCTCCTTACCGTCCGGCAGATACAGCTTCAATGTCGCCACTATGCACCCGTGGGTGACCTTCTTTGTACTTTCCACGACGTCCACGCCGAATTGCACTATGTCTCCGGAGCACACTTCTTTCGGCGTTGACTCCAACCCAGAGGCACTGAGCCTCTGATTGTTGACGAACGTACCGTTGCTGCTGCACGTGTCCTGCAGGTAAAACTTACCAGACGAGTACCAGAGCAGCGCGTGATTCCTGGACAATACTTTGCAATCGAAGATCGCATTGTTCGCGGCAGCCCTCGCTCTCGCCACTGAACGCCCGATCTTCACCGGCTGCTCCAAGGTCAATGTGCGCTCCTGGAACGGATGCGAATTGTCCCGGCAGATCAGAACGCCTTTGGCAGTCATCTTGTTATTCTGCGCGTTGTTCTGCGGGCTCAGGTTGGAATTATTGTTGTTGTTATTGTTGTTGTTGTTCTGCCCGGCGGGCGAACTGGCATTTTGTACCCACCCACCGCTGCTAGCTACAACCATAGCCGAGGAATGAGTGAATATTCGAGGATAAGTCTCTTCCCGACTGATCGTCGTCAGCGCTAAAAATTATATCAGCAATCGAGGCGTACACGAGGAGTCTCTAATGTCGAGATCGCCGCTTCACGTTACCGATGAAACACATGAGTGCGCTCACGAGCCTCGAGCTCGGTCACGAGGATCGCGCCGTGACCTTTCGCGACCCGTTGGCCGACGCGACGAGGCGTGACGACACTGCGTTCGGCATGCTTCCCTCAACGATAATATCACTGAACACGCCCGTCACTCCCCCACGGGATCACCTTTATTTTCGTCGTAGAAATTTTCTCGGTGCACTGGAAATGTCCGCGCTCGGGCCAGCGTTCGCGGGGGCCCGGCCGAGGAGAACGAACCGAGCTCGGATCGATTCGACCTTCCAAGATCGGGTCGCGGCTCGGCCGAGACACGCGGGATGCGTCCACTCGTCTCACGAGACGTCTCAACGTCGGGCCAAGTAACGTCGTGAGTTACGCTGTCACGTAATTTCGCCCGTGCCGTTCCATTCGTCAGCGCGTCACTTCGCTCGCGAAGTTTCAACTGCTGCTGCTGCTGCCGCCGTTTCCGACGATCTCGGTGCACGGCGCGGTGCGATGCGTCGCGACGGGCGATAACCGAGGCGAATCGCCGACGGTATTGCGCGACTCTCGCGATCGTACGAGAAAATATTGCGCACGGACGACGTACGGCCTCCGTGGAAAATACAATGGTCCACGTTCCGTCGATTCAGAGCAAGTTTCAGTTCCGCGTTCCACTACTGCCACAGGCGCCGTGGGACGGCGCGGCGTCACCTGCCTTGCCTTACCCTACCTTACCTACCTACCTGCCTTGCGATGCGCACAGGCAGATGTATAAATATATCACGACTGCGAAAGTCCGGAAAAAAAATAAAGAGTCATCTATTATAGGGCTATACTTTTTATACATCGCACGGCGTAGTACTTATATAAGGAAGCTGGTATAAATTGCATCTTTAATGTCCGTGACGTTAATAGACGGACAAATGTCACAGTGAGCTCGCGGCTATATATAAGTATAGGAGAAAAGAGAATATAAAATATCGCAACGTATGATCTCTCCTCGGTTGTTTTAACAAAACGATTTTATATCGATCAACATCGACGTATAGCACATTCAAATGTGATGCATGCTAAATTGTCGTAAAAAAGCGACGACAGTATATAAATTATAAGAATATTTTAATTAAAGTGATCAATTTCACATTTCTCATTCTCATATGATACAGGAGACTTTGCTTCTGAAAATTTACAGGAATCAACGTTTCCAACACGGCTAATATATAACCTCTCCAGTAACCTTTGCCTTTTCAACATAACCTAATAACTTAAAAGAGTACGCGTCATATATCATGTGCAAAATATAGTTTTTTTTTCATTTAAAAATAACATTTTTATCAAATAAACGATTAGGAAATCTATTACCAACAAGAAGAATCTTTGAGGTATTACATCGTCCATGAAAATAATGATTTGTACATTCTACTACTAAAAACTTATAATAAATCTTATAATAAAACTAATTATTCTGTTCACAGTGTTTTACAAAACACTTTTCTACACAACTGTTAACTCCACTCGAAAAAAAATGTCAGACGACGAGGACTACATGTCTGATAAATTTCTACAAGGCTCTGAAAAGCAGGTTTCATCGAGTCTTATATACAGACACGCTGACAAGAGAGAATTTGCACTAATGAAGAAAAGAGCTGAGATTGAATCGAAGATGAAAGAGCAAAACAAATCAATACGAGTGGTTGAAGCAGAAAAAAGAGAGGAAGGCTTATCATCTGCCATCACCAGTGCAAATAAAGGTTTATATTTGATATAAACACATAGTATTTATTCTAAAAGGAAAATCATTTATGTCTATTTATCTCATTTCCAGGTTTTTCAATGCTGATGAAAATGGGATATAAACCTGGTCAAGGCATAGGCAAGTCTCAATCAGGAATAGTTGAACCAATTCCTGTAGAAGTAAAAGCGGATAGACAAGGTTTAGGCAAAACATTAAAAAAGAAGGAGTCGTATAATCGCAAGAACGCGAATGCAAAATTAGATAATATGGATACGAAGGATTTCCGTAGCAGGATAGCACAAGAAAAAACCGAACAGCTACAAAAGATCGATTTATACAAGAGCCAAAAAGTATGTCAAGAATTGGATACTAAAGAAAAAATCGAAGAACCTCAAGAATCTTGGTTTTGGCCACAAGTCATAGAAGAAAAAGAAGAAATAGAAGAAAAGGAAGCTGACGACGATGATGACGCAAGCGATATGGACGACGAGCTTCTCAGCAATCTAGAAAAACTTGACATTCTCACTGGATATTTAAGAAAGAAATACTATTACTGCATCTGGTGCGGAACGAGATTCGACGACGAAGACGATTTAAGAGATAGCTGTCCGGGAAGTACACGAAACGACCACTGACTGCGTAAACTTCGACATTTGCAACAATACTATCTTTACTGTCTACGAAAAATTGATATCAACAAATCTTTCACGTCGTCGAAAACATTTATTCCGGCTTTGTCGATTGTACTAAAAGTATACCACGAAACACGATGGAGACATTAACGTGCGCGTGCGGGAATTCTAGGTAAATTGCATTACTTAAACGCAGTCACCTGCTGCGTCCACGAGACATAAAAAAGCCATTAACTGTGCGATGCAAAATATCGCAAAAAATAATGTCTCGCGCGAGGAAAAGTCGAGCGCCGCGCAACCCTAAGAACAAGAGACTTGTTACCTCAATCTCCAGCCCTAGTTGAACTTTGCTATTAAAGCAGCGGGGGATCATCGCGACCCCTGGCTTTTACACTCAACGGAAAAAGGGGGAAATTACCTATAAAAGCATCCGTTTGATTTTCGCTTCTTTCATTTTGCTCGGAAACTTTTACGGCGACTCTTCCACAGATAAATCGACACTATAATGTTGATAGCATCGAAGTCCCTGTTAATTCTCGCGGTTTATGCTACGATCAGCGATGCTGAAATAGAAATAGACGACGAGAGCTGCGAGACCCTGCAGTCAGAAGTGCATATTACTAAGGAAGAGAACGACGAGATAGGACGTTTAAGAAGAACATGTAGCGGCGACGTAGCGGTCACCAAATGCGAAGGTTTTTGTAACTCGCAAGTGCAGCCAAGCGTTGTCACCACTACAGGCTTTGCAAAAGTAAGTTTGTCGTCGTTAAATTGAAATTATTTTTATAAATTATATTTATTTGTTGGAAACAGGAGTGCTACTGCTGTCGTGAGAGTTATCTGAAGGAAAGATTTGTCGTCTTAAATCATTGTTACGACGCATATGGAATCAGGCTGGAAGGCACGGATGACGAGATAATGGAAATTAAGATACGAGAACCCGCCGAATGTAAATGTATTAAATGTGGCGACCTTGCGAGATAAAAGCAGCGACGATTGTAGAAATGAAAATTATAAATTCCTTCTCATAAGTTAACCTACAGCTTATTATGTAACAATTATATTGATAGATAGACAAGAATGAGGATATTGTATAATCACGATAAAAATTAATAATTTTTCCGATATATTTACAACATGAGATCTATTTATAGCCCCGATAATAACTACTTCACGCATGCACACGTACGCATTTTTATCCGTGATAAGCACTTCATGTCAGAAATTAATTTCTTTTAAACATTGCAAATATGAATTTATCCACGTAGAACATACACATGTTCTAAATGCATGTAAATTATGTTTGTATATCATTACATACTTTGAGGTAAAATATATAAATATGGAATTCATATGAATAAACAGTTATAATATATTTTAAGTTTTTATCCACACCTATCGATATAGCACATGTAACATACTCATTATATAATACGTTTTATTAAAAACAAAAATTCCTCATAATGTAACGCTAGCGTAATTTAAAAAATAAGAAATATATACAGGCTCAAATGATATAAATCAAATAAAATAAATTGTCAGAAGAATAAAGAGCCAAATACGCCGGATCTTAGTGCGAAAAGTCGTATAATCAAATTAAAAACATATACAAAAACAAACGTTTCGACCTGACATCAGGCCTTCTTAGTAAACTAACTAACATTTTAATCTCTGACCAAGATGTTTCTTCTACGATTGACTCTTCCGTTTCAGTCAGTTCTTTACGTTTTGGTTATTACTTTGGATATGATTTTATTACAATTTTAAATCTGCTGACTGCGTTCTATCTTATGCGCTGATTAACACATAATTTATAATTCAATTATCTATCAATTCAATTATATTATTGCGTGCGACTTTTAGTTCATGCGACTTTGTCACATTGAAGAAGGCCTGATGTCAGGTCGAAACGTTTGTTTTTGTATATGTTTTTAATTTGTCTATATGACTTTTCGCACCAAGATCCGACGTATTTGGCTCTTTATGCTCCTAATAATTTATTTTATTTGAAAAATTCCTCATTTTTAAACTTTTGAAGTAATGTATGAATAAGCCAGTGGACAAAAAGACATAAAAGTTCAATTACTAACTTTAACTTTAAAATTTCGACTTGCTTTGTTCTTACCAATTTTCCATTTAATGTTAAAATTTGAAAAATTGTTAGAAAATATAAGGTTTAATTAAATTTTAATATAAAAAAATTATTTCAATTTTTGATAAGACATTTCTTTTACCTAGAAATTTTGCACACAAATAAAAAAAAGTCAGTTTTGTTAAGCTGAATAAGTAAATGTTTAATTATTAAAATAAATATGTTGTGCAATGTATTCATTATACATTTTTTTCATTTATACTGTTATTTCATATTTTGGTGAATATTTCCTTTAACAACAATTTGTGCACAAAGCTTTCATCATGCTTTTTGCGATATTTCAAATATTTGCGTAATTTAATTCTAAATTATAGAATTTTATTGTAAGAAATCTAAACTAAAATGTATTAAAAAATAAAGATGTGCAAGTCAATCGTTTCTTTTCAAATAGATTATAAGAAATCAGATTATAAGAAATCAATCTTCATTGAATGTTTTTGCTATGAAAAATTCCTGAAAAAAAAATTCAGCAAAAATTGATTTGTAAATAAAAAGTATTGCTCTGACAAGACATTTTCATATAATATGTCTTATGAAAATAATAATATATATTCAAACAATACAATTTCATGCAAAAACTTATTTCTTCCTAAATAGTTATATTAAGTAATAAATTTTGCATCACACTATGTTAATACATAGTGGAAAATGTTCTATCAAAGATAGAATTAATATATATATTGATAATATATATATGAATTAATATATATATAGCACCTTAGCTTTTTATATAAAAATATTTATCAGATCTTTAAATATTGTCAAATTGTTTACTTATAAAAAAATAAGATCCAATGTATATAAATTCAGAAAGCATTTTCTTATGTACATTTCTTATACATGTAAGTACACATGTATTAGGAATTTCTGTTAAAATGTAATGACCAAAAGAAGGGGGAAAACATGGCCACCTATAGTGTATAAAAGCTCAAGACGTAGGGCTTACAAGCACAGTAAAGTACTAAGAAGAGAAGGCAATGTATCGCCCAAGAAGCAAGTTCTTCTGTTACCTCGGTGAATAAATTAACGTTTGGGCGTACATTTATAAAATAAAACTAATTTTCTCTCAGCTTTTCTTGCAATTGTATGTAAAATATAATAATAATAAGATATCTACTTACTGCGTACAGTGATTAATGGATTCCTGATATGCCTGTTGTCCGAGAGCGTACAAGCAATTGTTGGAGTTGACGAATGTCAGGCGACACGAGTGATACACTTCCTTGAATATCCAGGTTGTGTTCCAAAGCCAATTCCCAGTTACGCATGCAGAGGACGTTGCAGCAGTTACCTACAAGTAAGATATACGAATCAGCAATAATCTCACAAAAAGTATGTATCTGACAATAAAGCTCCGTTTCAAATAATAATTTCATAAATTACAATACGTTGTAACAAACAATACACAAATTAGCAAGATTCTATGGACAGTACTGTTTGAAAGTTTTTTGAAAAGTAATTAACATTAATATAGTGATGAGAAATGAATATTACAATAAATACTCACAAAGTATACCCTATACAAGTATTTCCAAAACTATGTAAATATGCACTTTACAAATCTTCACATGATAGAAAAGTTTCAAGCGTGCGATGTATGCATACACATGAAAAATATACACACGCATACATTAACGATAGAGACAATAATTGCAACTGATAGAATATCGCTGAATTGTATCACGTTTGACGTTTGACAGAGTTAATTATTTCGTTTTTTTTTTTAATGCAACGAGACAATAAGAAGAGATAACATAACGCGTTTGAGTTTACGATACGTTTTATCCGGCTTGTCGGCACACACAGGTGTCCGGGTCCAAAATGTGGCAAATGGAGAGAAGCTGCATGTGTTGTCAAGAGAGCGGCGAGAGAGAGGCTAGTGTGTCCCTGTTCTGTCCGCGAGCGAAGCCAGGGGAGAAGAAGTTCCGGAAGGTGAGACTTCTCACGTTCGTATTCGCTGTCGCTCGTAGATCGGCCGTCAAAATCACGCGGTGTAAATGTTTCGCCTCAAACACTCTATTTTTTCACCGACCGCTCGCTCAAAGTACAACAGCGAAGCCTCCGCCACCACGAGTTTCGCACGGCCATATTGTTTTCGTATGTGACCGACCGCGGACCAATCAGAAGTCGGTAAACGTACGCGAAAAGTGAATAACAAGCGTGGTGCTGGCTTCAAAATGGAAAAGCGAATCGAAGGCAATTTAGTATGCGCCTGCGAGTGCAAAATTCTTCTTATTTCCTTTCAATTGCTCGAAATAAAAAGGTGTTTATCTCTTATTGAGAAATTTATACACGCGGCATGTGAACTCACAATAACGCAACATAAATCGCGGACGCGAAATATGATTTGCAATAGCTCGCCGCGTCAACACGAAAGTTCAAAATACGTTGTATGCCGTTGTATGCCGTTGTATCTGTTCCATCAGGTAATCACCAAGGCGCCGCTGGAATGTATGTGCAGACCGTGCACCAGCGTGGAGGAATACGCGATAGTCCCTCAGGAGATCGCGGGATTCGCCGATGAGGGACCGTTCACAACATCCGCACATTTTAGAAGATCCTCCGGCTTGCAATGAGTATATCTTTTTCCACATATATAAATTTTTTCTCTCGTCAAAATTATATCGCATATTGATATGTAAAACGCGACTAAATCTCTGCGTTTAATCGCTCGGTGTTGTGAAAAAAGAAAAAAATAATGAAACGTGCAAAAATTCTCAAACGTGCCATGTTAATTCCCCAAGTTGAATCGAAACACAATTGAGGCTGTAATAAATTTAAATATATGCAATGCGTATAGTTCTTTCAGGAATATTTTTTTCCTCGTAAACCGAAAGAAAAGTTTTATTGCGACGAGTTACGGTTTATTTTCGCCCAATCGTGTTCAATGAGCGGCAAGAATAATTAACAACGGTTTGTCATGGAGTTCTTTTTTTTTATTTTTTTATAGATATGGCTTATATGTACGTATGTATAAGTGTGTGTGTGTGTACCTATGCGAAGTGTGTCATCCGAGTCCTTAGCGATATTTTTATTTATATTATGTATATGTAAATCTATACGTACGTAAGTACACGCAGATATACGAGTGTATATAGCGATATATGTGCGTGTTCATACGTGAGAAAAATGTGTTTCAACGCAATGTGTCGTCGCACACGTTGTGTCGTATGCAACATTGCGAGAGACAAGCTCCAGCGTCCGTAACCTCTGTGATTCATACCTGCTTCCAGTTTACAGTCTCGTTCAATTATTTACAAATGATAACTCCTTACTTTTTTAGTCATTATCCGCACTTATCCACATATTTTAACATTTTCTTTTATTTATATATAAATTAATGTATTTTATATTTGCATGTGGTTCATAAGTGCACCACATACGTACCACTCATATGAATCTTACACAGCCATTCTCGCGACATTCATTCGTTATTAACTTTTCCCAATTCTCCATCTCTTCGTACATAGCAGCTAAGAGTCGTACAATTTCAATTCTATTTAATCGCGAAAAGAGAGAAAAGAAAGAAAAATTGGATTAAAGAAAATCTCAGTTACTTCAAACTGCCGCTATTTACGAAATATATCAATAATTTTAATAAAGTTTCAGTCGAGTCGTAATTCCAAAAGAAAAAGAGGTTTATCTAAATTCTTTAACTTAGTTTAACAAAAAAAAAGACTGTGCTGCATTCGCAGCAAGTTTCACTGCTACAAAAATGAACAACTTGAAAAGGAATACTAAACATTTGAACAATATATATTTATATAAACAATATATATATAGAGAGAAGCTATATATATTGAGATATTATTGAAAAGTTATATGCCTGTTGTCATATGCACCGTCAATAATATAATGCACCGATTCACATTTCTAAAATGAGACCTTGATGTCATGTCAGATTATTTTAGGTTACAAAAGCAGAAAAGATTGTTCGACGTATATTTTCGCCAATGTATTTTTTAGCATACGAAACCAACAAATCTCTCGATAAGATCTATTTTGTGGATCATTGTTTTTTTTAATGTTTAAAATATCACAAGTATTTAAGAGAAAATTTGCAAATATTCTCGAGAGAATATAAATCGTTCAATAACTGTTCAGATTAATAATTTACTGAGAAATTCTTTCAACATTTCAACAGTTTTCCTTCATTCATATATAAATTAGTCTAATTTATATTTATTTATGGTTATAAAGTGGGCTACATACGTAACTTATGCACATTTTGTACACAATACATCCATGAACAATGTTTTTAGAGATGTATCGCATAAAATACGCATGAATATATTACGTATGTGTACTTAAAATGCATATATAAATATAAAAAACATTAATTTATATACAAGAAAAATGTTAAAATAATATGGATAAGTAAATAAATGATTGCAAAATTTGCCGGTATTGTTAATCTGAGCAGTTATTGAACGACTTATAATCTGTCGAGAATGTTGGCAAATTTTTAAGACTCAAAATACTTGCGATATTTTAAACATTAAAAAGATATATCTCATAAATTCATCAAATAATTTTAATTTGAACATCATTGTTAAAACGTCAATTGTATAATTTATATTGATATTTGAAGTATTAAAAAAACAATGTTTTTGATTAATTTAGAGAAGAATTGATCTTAGAGATTTATTGGTTTCATATACTAAAAAATATACTTGAAACATGAAAAAAAATTGCGAATATTTTCGAAACAATATAAAACATGCAATCAGTCATAACAGCAGACGTTCAAATAAACAGAATGTTCTCTGATAAATATATAACAAGAAAGAAATACCTTTATATACGATATACGAACGTATATCGAGATTATTTTCCTTTTTTTTTTCTTTGCGATAGAATAGAAATTATATGAATCTTAGTGCTGCTACATATATGGAGCGGAAAAGTTCTCTGCTTTAGTCTGCCAAAATAATCTATCAGGCACATCAAAATCCTATTTTAGAAGTGCAAATATATATAACTGCGTAGATGATGAGCTCACTGGATATATATATTGTTATTATATATTATTGAGTAAAAGTTCGGAAAGACATATGCATAGAACAAAAAAATACTGATGAACAGTAATTTTCATGTGTGAATTGAGCAGAAAGAGCATAACTGCAAACTGATTATATTATTTAACAATATATATTTATAATAAAGCAACATATATAATATTATACATAATAAAATATAATATATATTGTTACAATACAATATATATTGTTAAATATATAATCAGTTTGCAGTTGTTTCACTATTTTCGAACCTTTTGATTATAAAAGTCAACTCTTTTTACGAGTAAAATTCATTCAAGTAATTCCTTTTATATCAAGCTAAGTTAAACAATTTAAATATAACGAATCCTTAAAAAATTATGAATCGACTCAGACTTCATTAAAATTATTAATACGTATTGAGAGAAACTATATACATCTTCACGAACCTGTGCAGACACATATGCTCAACTCAGTCTCTCCTATACGAGCACATTCGAAACGAAAGTGAGCTCATGCTGTACCTCAAATCAGTTTAATAACAATTTTATACAATACGATGCTACAGCATTTACCACGGGGATACATCCAAACGTTCCCACGTACCGTGCTCTACTTTTCTCATTCACTCTCTTCTTCTCTGCGATTATAAATAGCTAGTGTTAAAAAATAGTACTTCAATATGCACATCATTTGTAATCTTTCGTTTTCTAACTTCAACGTGTTCTAGATTACAGATCCTAATTCCGCAATATATATCCATCTCGCTTTCGCTCTATCCCATTTTGTCGTGTATATTCCGTTTCTTATAATACATTATAAGTTCTTATTTGCAAAGATATAAATTAGTAATTTTGTTATATATCGTATTCCGTTACAATAGGAAGAACCATGTCGCTGTCAGTATCAGACTTGGTTATCTCGGTAGCTGTTTTCTTCTCTCTTCCCTCCTCCTCTCTCTTTTACTTTCCAAATTTAATCCATTTAAAATTGACCTACTCGGTTGCGTACTCCGATCTGCAATTCGTTAACTATAAATCGTGTAACAAGCACTTCGGTTGTGATCCGTGATATAGCGTTAATATAATTGGAAGTAGCGTTGAGTCTTCTCAATTCCAAGCATGGAAAAGAGACGCATATATTTCCGGTTCTATTGAGCGATTGACCTACCTCGCTGCAGACATTTTTACATAAGAAACACGTTAATATTTGGCGAGCCATTTTTTTGCTTTATTTAAACTTTAAACCATTTTATTGAATTATATATAATAATTATTTTGCATAGTTCTGTAATAATTAATAGTTTAAGTTTATCTTCATTATGTATATCTCAAATACAGCTGTATTTCGCGTATTTCGTTCTTTTGTTTAAGTCTGTATTTATTATTATTATTATTATTACTCCTCTTTACTCATTAGTAGAGAGTCGTAAAAAGTTATAGATTATATTACATACATTTTCACATATCACTTCATTGTTTTATTTATTCGTATTGGAGTTTTTCTGTTCAATACTCGGCGTCTTCATTTTTGCGGGAAAAAAAACACAACTGCAATTTGATTTTTGAGCGTTGTATTTTTCTTTTTATCGGGGAGACGCGTATTTAAGTCTTTTTAATAGACGATAGTGTAATCGATCACAGTATCGTCAACAGTCCTGCTTCGCACTAGTTGACAACTCTTCGACACTGGAATTATCGTCCGGTTCTTGCAAATCGGTGAAGAACGACGTAAGGGCGACAATTGAGACGCTATGTCCTACAAGATCCTCCGTTGATTCTGGAGTCTTCTTTTGCCATGTCAGAAATGCGTCGCTCGATATCACATTATCCATCCACAATTGGTTCATAATGGGAACGAGAGTACCTACAATTATTAAAATAATTAATTCCGCACGCTTTAATATTCTTATAAATGTAAAATAAAATAAAACATCTTTCATTTATATAGAAATACTTCAGTTACTACGCAATTTATGCTAATATCAATAAATATAATAATAAATGCGTGTATTTCAAAGTGCTTACCAGGTGGGAACTCAATTTTATTTATGTAATGTTGAATTGCATAAAGACATTGCAACTCTAATAATTCATTCGCATCGACGAACCGTTGGATCAGCATTTGCAAGCTCGCAAAAGTTTCTAAATTTAATTTCCAAGTGTCGTGATTTTTTTCTGCAAATAAATATGGAGAAAAAACATAATTTAGAATAGCAATCCTGTAAAAATGTAAATCAATGGTTTTTGAAAATTCATGTCAGTATCCTTTTAGCTAAGCAACATAAAGATCATTTATTTCTTATCTTTAATCTAAAAAATCTTATCATCATGTTTAGTTTATTCACTTTAATGGATATGTTTTGAAACACAGCATCTTACAAATACGTACCTAACGTAGTATCTAAAATGGCAGTCATTAAATGTCTTATAAACCTGGGGTCTTTATCTCTACTACCAACATTTGCCTGAAACAACAAGTATTTATTGCAGAAAACCGTCGATATATAACATACACTAACTTGAGATGTCAGCTTGGAAATATGCTTACAGTTATCCAACTGCAAATTTCGTCAAAGGAAGTATTATCCTTCATGAGCCTCGTGAGATAATCCTGAATTTTTTCTAACGAGAGTTGATCGGTAGTAGGAAAGCCTTTGGCACTATTATAATCACCAGTTAGGAACTCTAAATTCTAAAAATGAGAATTAATGCGTTAAAAATTGAAGATTCTTTTCTACGGAAAGAAATATAAAAATTAAAAAAAAAATTGTTTTATACTTACACAATTTACAATATACATATGTATAAATAATTTGTACATATATATACAAATATATACAATATATACAAATATTATACATTAATAATAAAGAATTTTGCTCGAAATATTGACTTGTACTCGGGCGTGAGGAATGCTTACGTATTCCGTGATGATCTTTTCCATATTTTCCAGATCTGTGTCAATTAAGTTGCTCCATTGCAGTCCGCTTTGGTCCCATTTATCGGCAACCCATTTAGGTCCTTTGCTAAGAGATACTTTCGTCAGAAGTTCACCGATGAACTTGCCTACGTAGCCTTGACGCCTCAAACTTAGAAATACGCTCTTCATTTCGGATAACGGGATAGCGCCGTCCTCTATCGAATGTGCTACAACACGAATATCAGCATGCATGTAAAAATCTATCTAAAATCATTATCGCGAGTACATTACTAGATTTTTCATCAGGCCTGTTGAGCTACAGTACCCGCATGGCATTTTCTCTGGCATTAAATGTGATCGTCATCACAAAAGAAAAATTTTCCTAGAAATTGCTCCGCGATTAACTCGCGGAAAAAAAATAATATGCATATATTACTTACACAATATTTCCGCTAAATACGTCCAAATTTTTGGTATATCTATAACCAAATCGTCCACAATTTCCAACACTTCTCCTAACCTGAAATAGAATTTCTCTGTATTTGTAATGGTTCGGATAAAAACTCGGTACAACATTAAATTTGTTGCGAGTAGCATCAGTATCCTTTTGGCAAACGTAACACAAAGAGAACTTTCAATTGTAGTAATCTTTACTCTGTTTCATAAGTTTCATCATTAATACGAAAGATGTGAACAAATAATTTTGCAACAATTTTTTTTTTTTTCTACAAAGAAATTGACTTACCCTTCTTTGAAACACTTCATAGGTAGAATATTTCTCCTAAGCAGATGGGACAGAAGTTTGGAAACCAGTTCTCGCTCGGTCGGCGATTTTTCCAGAACATAGTTGATGCATTCGCGCGTGAACTTGTTCAAGGTATCAATATCGAACTTTTGTTGCTGAACTTCTAATCCCGTATTCTGCAAACAGAAAGAAATGACGTCAGGATTACATCGGATCCACACGACAAAATACCAATAAAATTCTTTATCCAAAAAACTAATATTTTTTTATAAATTTTTTAAAACATTTTTTTATCGCAATTATATCTTGTCCTCTCTCTGGTTAATATGAATTAGCTTGATGCAACAATATCATAGAATACCAAAAAGAAGGTATTGCATACTATAGCACGCCAATGACTCAAGCATCTCCTAATGAATCAGAGATGGATCTAAGGAGCGTGCAAAGCGTTGCACCTGCAATATCTTTGTCTCGTCGGAACTAGTATATATCGTTTTCAGAAAACTTACTTCGACAATTGGTTCCTCAAGGTAGTGTTTTAATATGGAATTATGAGCCTTGATGAATTCTTGTTCCGACATTGCGGGTTTGTGGCTGATTGCGCCAGATTGCGAAACAGATTTCATTACAGGCAGAGGCATCGACACATTTCTACCCTGCGCACTATCTAATAACGGATGACTGTCTCTGCTCGACGCTGCGCCCAATTGGTGAGTACCGTTACGAGAACTCCTTCCGTCTGTAATAGATAACATTTCTTTCAGTCATTTATTCAAAGAATATTTTTAAAAAGCTTATATCTATAAGTGCAAAAGATTGTTACCATAAGATTTGTAATCGCGACCACATTCCCTGGGACCCGTTGATCTCGATCTGAAATAATAACAGGTAGAAATGTATAAGTAATTGTTCGATCTGCATCTGAATGTTGACGTGAGATTTGCAAAACGTCAGAATTAAATTGTGAAATCATGTACGTTTTAGAAGATTCAGAAACTCTAGTCTGTAAATGTGTATCATCATAAAGTGAAATTGGACAAAAGTCACGAATGCGTTTCAAAAATGTTCTACTCACCCAGAGAGTGGTAGCGGCGGCATCCGTTTGTCCTGATCTAGATTAGACATGTTCTCTAAACATGCAAATTTATTCGCACTTATTGTCTTGGAGTTATTGGACGGGGTGGTAGCTCGCCACAAATAAGAAGCCCTATTACCAAGCTGCATATCATCCATGGGAGGCTATTGCAAAAAATAAAATTACAATTTAAAAGTTAAATAAAATTAAAGAAGAAAAAAATTAAAAAATAAATTGAATAAAGAATAATATAGTGATATTGATAATTGAGTAACAAAAAGTTGGCAGGTGAAATATTAGAGACTCAAATTACTAACCGGCTTGTTCTTCAATTTCGCTGTTTCCACCGAATACGTGGTAGGTCTAACCCTTCCTACTGGTTGACTCCAACCATCGTCAGTAGGACCGCCTAATCCACCTAGCGCGAATAATTGTTGGTAACATAATGTTTCATCATGATCGTAATAATATGCAGAAAACGCATTACGTAGTTGTCATAACTTACGATTTCTTTTCCTGTCGTTATTGCGATCATCTTTTCGTGGAGTGTTCAACGGTGCGCTGTTCACTTGCATGTCCAGCCTCTCGGATTCCGCTTCCTTTTGGATCTGGTCTATCGTCTTGGGATTATTCTCGTTTCTTCTTGGGATCCATTTATTCGCTCTTAAATCTATAACATCTTGCAGCATGAAACGGATCCTAGAACTGATCTTGCTATGACCTTTTCGAATGACCATTTCTTGCATTTTGCCGAAATATTCTTGCATTTCCTGTAAAATAAAAAAAAAAGTTAGAAATACACAAGAGTAATATATTATCGTCGATAAATCACAGACTTAAACTTTTACCTCGGGAGATCCTTTCAATTCTAAATCCTTGCCAATTGTCGTTAACAGCTTGCACAGGCACTCCAAGTTGTCTTCATCATTTTGCTCCAATAAATGTCGGACGCAGCGGTGCATGATTTTCGTAGTCAATATTTGTTGTTTGTATAATTCACCAATAAACCTGTAAATGTTAAAATAAAATATGTTTAAGAAAATTATAGAGTCTAGTAAAAATATTTATCATATAGAAAATTTGCTCACCGAATATTTCCTACAGATTTCACACGTATCCGACGTTCCTCGTCCTCGAGAGCCAACTGTAATTCCTTTTTCTTTTCCTAATAAATGAAACAATCAAATATTAAAATAAAATATTCTATATATATAAAAAAAAAATACTGAAAATAGCTGAAAAATGAAATAGATCAAGGTTCGCTTACAGGATCTGTGCATTCATCAATTTCCTTAATTCTTCTATTCCTAGCAACATCGTCAATCGGATTCTTTTCAAATTCTTTTTGGCAACGAGTGATAATGAGTTTCTTAAAGCTGATAGAACAATCTTGATCGCCGCCTGCAACCTCCATCAAGGCCAGTTCTTTGCACAACAATGCGTATTCTACGGAGAAGCTGGGCTCGTCGACGGCTTTTTCGAAGACCAGATTGATTACTCCCTGTAGACGTTCTTGTGTATCAATGGGTAAATGCTTAATTTGCTCCACCAAGGTGGCGAATTTTTGCGGAGTGAGCTTGTTCAACACACTGCGCACTCGCTTGTAGAGAGCCTCGGTCTTCGCGTCTTCCTCGGTTATAAACAACTGCTTCAGCCTTGTGGGTTTCCAAGCGTTCTCCGTCTCTCTCAGTTTCACATCTTCTCGGAGTGACAAAGAGACGTGTATGACATTGGGCTTACTGGGCTTAGGTTTGCCTCTGTCGCTCTTACGACTACTTGTTGCCGGCTGCAAAAAAAAAGGCACGTCTTGTTAGCAACGTATCAAGACTAGTATCCAGATAAAGTAATTCAGTAAAGAATGAAAAGTCAGAAAATATGTGTTGTCCATCAAAACATTTCGGACCACTACTTTCACAACTCAGCATCATCCATCTTTATTTCCATTTCGCGATATGCAATCCGCGTGTTTGCTTTAATCCGACTTACCGGGCGTGCGTTCAAGTTTGATTTAGCAAATCCAGGCATCAGTGAGTCGTGTCTGGTAAGATTTGCATCCTTGAATGTCCTCAAATCCAGAGTGGAGTTAATATTCTGTAAAAATCACGCATACATGTGTAAATGATGAAATATTACGTGCGTATAAATTACACGTGCAAAAGTGAGCAAAAATTTTACCTGTATAGTGTCTTTCAAAACAGCTTGCAGATTTGGCAAATTCGGTGGCTTAATCTTGCTATTGGGTTCATGTTGCAGCTTCATCAAGAAATCTCTATCGTAGATCTTCTTACCAGTGGTGTTTATCGGACTCCACTGATCCTCTTTGTATGTGTACTTGAGTTGTGGCTGTCTAGGCGTGGTGATTTCAGTCGACGCGTTACTACCGCCGCTCGGAGCTTCCACTTCCTGCAGCTGCTGCTTCTTCTCGATAACCGCTGCCGGCATCACTGTCGGCGTTACCTTTTCGTCGTTGGACGCGAGCAACGCTGAAACCTTGAAGTTCTCCTCGTTCTTTTGCGCGACCAATGCTTCCAAGTTGATCTCCTCCTTGATTAACGCGTGATCGACGACGTCGTTAGGAACTACTGCTGCTTTCGGTTGCGCGTTACATACATTCGACTTCGCGCTGTCCTCTATCTTCGGAGAGGACTCCTTCGGCACTTCCTTGTTAATCGGCAGTTTATCTACAACGTGAGCGGCTTGCACGGGAGCGCTTTCCTTGGGCACCTCGGCAACTACGTGTTTCTCGACTTTCGGGTGAACGGGTAAAATCTCCTTCTCTTTCTTCGATTCATAATTATCCTTCTCTTTTATGTCTTTACTAATCTCCCTGCCGGACTCCTTGTTACTGTCTTTCAGAGCGGGTGTGTGCTGATCCTTGTTGTCCTGCTTGATCTCGGCCACTTTTGTCGCCGATACTGGGTTTACAAAGGCGTCCATGTCTGTGCCTTCCTTCTCCGCGCCCTTGCGATTCAGCTCGTAGGGTTTCAATTTATTCTTACTCTTCTGCTTTTGCATAGCTTTACCTAAAAAAAAAAGAAGTACGCATATGATGATACATGAAAGCGAGGATACGAAAAAAGTTTGGTACGGCTGGAAAAAGAAATTTGTATGCAATTTTAACAAACGTATCGAACGCGAAGTAGCATATTTCATCGATCTCTGTATCCTTTCATTCTGTACGAACGCATCGATCATCAATGATGACTGAAAGTCCAAAAAAGAAAGCCAAGCGATTGCTCAACTTATTTTCTTTCTTCGGTGCTATTACAAGCTGCTCTTTAAGACTGAAATAGCGGCGAAAGAAAGATTTGATTCAACGAGGAATATAGCCTCGACGTGTCGGGATCGGGCGTGTACCGTGATCTCGGGATCCCCGTCGATTACGACTTTTGGATCTCGTGCTGCTGCTGGCACGGCTGCCGCCGCCGCCGCCGCTCGCTCTTCGGTCGCCCATGTTTCGCGTATGTCCGCCGCGCACACGTGCACTCACATCTTCGGATGGGCTCGAGTTTCTGTCGTCGCGCCGCACCCGCTCGCACGCGCGGCACTGATTCAGTATTTATTTATAAACCTGCCAAATCCTGCCAAACGCGGTACAGATACGACGGCACGAAACACGACGATGCGCAACAACGGCGAGAATTGCATTTTCGACGACCTCAACGACAGCACGACGTCGTCGATGATCGTTCGCGAATCTCGTTTTCTCGATCGCGATCCAACGGTGAAACCGAGATGCCGACGATACTCGAGAAAAAGTCGCGTTACGTCCGCGTGCCGAGTATTTGGATCTCGACTCGAGAATGCAGAGGACGGTCCACGTAAGAGAGACGACAATGACGGCGGCGACGACGACGACGACGACGACGACGACAACGGCGATCGCGAACGATTGTCTCCGACTGAAAGACACTTCGGAAAATCCTCGGGTCTGACCAGCCGCGGCGCCCGACGACTTTCACGCATCTATTTTAACCTGTGAACTGGCGCAAACCGACAGGCACGACATAGGATTTCTTAAATTAGTTCTGTTCACCGGTTTGCGCCGGAGCAAGCGCACTAAACGCAAGCGGCTCCGAGTCGAGCCGAAAGCTGAGCGCGCGCCGTGTATCGCTCGGAAAAAATTCCTACATCCGACCGTGCCATTAATTTATCCGCGATCGAAATCTCAGTGTGGATTCCCGTAGCAAGTCGAAATCTGGCGAGACGTTCGAAATATTTATTCACTGCCGACGACGAAACTTCTTCGAGAGCAATTATTTAATTGGTTAATTAATTAACGTTCGGCGCGCGACAAACATTTCGTCCTCGTGTCGATCTTGGATTCGATTCGCGATGCATGAAAGTAGGTTGAGTCACATTTTATAAAAGCAGGTCGAGACGGCGGATAGTTCAGAATCAATCCGCTGGCGATAAATAAAAATCACGCATAGGCTTGGACGTATAGGCGAGACGCGGACAAGGTGCGACTAAGAATTTCGAGAAAGACGATATAATTAGACGGCTGCGAGAGAGATCGCCACCGCAAGTGCGCAAACCGTCTATCGCTGTCGAACATCTGCAGGGCTCAAAGAGCATCGGCGTGAAAAAGAATTTTCGCGCGAGTATCACCCGCACTGCCCCGATACGGTTTTATCGTGCGTCATTAATCGCGTCATTAATGTATGTATGCGTGCATTACAGTTGTTCGTTCGTAAAACGCGATTTCGATTCCGCTTCACGATTTCGCTCTCACACATTCTTCACCATATTTCATGCTTTAAACGATCGCGAAATTTGCACAGAGAAATCGTAAAATGCCCGCTCCAAGTGTACGAGTGCTTTTGAATACAATACCGAATACGAGCGACACACGTCCTTTCAGGGTCAATCGATCGATCATTGAAGAATGTTTCCCGGTATTTCCAAGCAGCTGGCGGCTTTTTCCTGTGCTACGGATGGAGTTTTTTTAAACCGCGGAAGACTTTCACCCAATCGCCGGATGATGAGAGGCTCAAGGTTGCGGCGGAGCAACGCTGCGCCCAAATTCCCGTGATATTTTTCGATGTACAGACGCGCCGCGTGTTCTTGTGAAATGGCGTTAGCCGAGGTCCTAACAGCGCAACAAGCACGGCCGCACACACACGCGTCTGCGGCCGTGACCCTCGGTTGCGAACCAGACTTCTTTCCCTGTATCGAAGAATACATGTACTTTCAATGACAATGTGCTGTTGCCAAGATCGATCATTTCGGCGACAATATGGGCGCGACCGAACGCACTTCTTACTTATCGAATTTATTATCTACCTTCATACAATTTTGCATGATCTTTTAATATAGATCGAGTCTGTTCACTTACGCAAAAATTCGAGATATAATTCCAACGTATGGCTGTGTAACGACGAAAAAATTCAGCATGAAAAAAACAAACGTGGCGCGTAAAAGATGTCAATCGATACAGAATAATATTGCAAAAACGCTTTCGCCCAATTTTGAGCACCTTCAGTTTCGTATAATTCCAACGTTTGCAACAAAGAATATAAAGAAAATTTATCTTCCCCGTCGCGATCTAAACGTTAAATTTAATAATTATTTTTTTAAGTAAACGTCGATGTAATATAATGTGCAATTGAAACGACGAATTCATTTATAAAATTTCACCGACTCTAAAAATCGAGCTGGCGATTTTACGAGAACAGATCGCAGCAATATGGTGAGGCGTTCTCTTTCGATCATTCACAAAATGGCCACACTTCACCGAGCGAACGGTTTAAGATCCCAGACAATACCATTAAATGCGCCTGCTGCATCTAATTTGGATACATTAAAAGCGTAGTTGAATTACTTAAAGACAGTAAAAAACGAACGGAGTGCTTTATGCGCGAAAGTGTCCATCTTTTAAATATACTCGAAGGACATCCGTGTGGGAGGAGACTTGGCTGCATGACGTTATATTCGGCGAATTTAAGAAAATGGAACAAAAACGTAATATTCATTTTTTAAAGCGACGGACAAAGAGAGGAAACCGGAAAAAAAAGTACTCGTACCAGCCAGCTCCGCGTGGCCGGATTTCGGTGGCCATATTTGAACAGACGGCTCGATGCTCCGAACACGTTGGAGCGTGTTCGCGAACGCCGGGATATTATCGGAGCGCAACTGCCACGTAGAGTCGCGCATGTAATTTACAAATCTAATGAAACAAATAAGATAAGTAAACGGGCGCGGGCGAGCGGGCGGGCGATCGCACGCGCACTCCCGCCTCGGTTCGACTCGTTTCGCGCCGTGTCGTTTCGCTTCGGCGCCGACGACAAGATGTCGGGAAACAAACCACGTTGCCATCGCGGTACCGACATTTTTTTTCTCCGACGCGAGAGACGAGCAATAGACAAGAAATTCGTACGTACATCTCCGGGCTGAGTCGATCTTTCCACTTGGTTTCCCACGCATTTGAATTGCACTTCACTGTCGCGCATTCTCGAACGCACGATACGACATTCTCAACGAACCGACATCCATTCGAGAAAGGAACACAAAGCGCGAGAGATCTCCTCTGACAATACGGGGCAGAAGGGTAGTGTGGGAAACAAGTTAAGAAAAACGATGCGTGTATAAGGCGCTCGTCGCGATGAGATAGAAAAATATGTACAAATAATTCGGGACAAGTTGTATGATAAAATGTAATGCGGTATAATAAGCGTATTCGTTGCGTGAGCGGTAGAGTGTATAAATTATGTTAAAGTTAAAAAAAAATATTGAAACAGTAACGTCGAGTAGTCTTTGGGGGTGTCGTTAAAATTAAAAAGTAGAACAAAATACAATTTAAAACAACTAAAAAAAAAGGAGGAGAGGATAGAATTGGGAGAAGAGAGCGGAATAAAACGCGGCCGGCTAGCGCAGCACGTGCTAGCTACTGAAGGCCGACGTTCCTCGACGACGAAGGAGACTTCTTCCCCTCTTTCCCGCCAATCGCCGATTAATCCTACTTCGTTCATTCTCGGACGTTTTCGCGTCACCGTTTGGCTCAGCCCGACTCTGTTCGTGATTCGCCCCGTCTTGCCTTGCTTGAAATCCCTACCCGCTTTCGATCACAGAAGGTGAAGAAACGAGCACCGAAACCTTCCGTTGGCCATAACTGTCACTAAGTGGAATTTCAACGGAAAAATTTAGACGCGATACTGCAAAGTGCCATCGACTACGATTCTTTTAAACTGTGAAAAAGGATAAGATAGTAAAAAAGGAAAAAAGCGGACAAATATGGATGAAACAAAAATTTCGAAGGTCAAAGATCGGAACCGCATGTTGGAATTTTGTAAAAATAAAATTTTGAATTCATATTTATATAGAAGATTAAAATTATTACTAATTTCTTATGTCAAAATAAAATATTATTGTATTAGCAAAGAATGTAGCGCAAATTGAATTTCTATGATCGAAGTGAGGAAAAGATAAACGTGTATCTAGCGGACAACTACAGAAAGAAAAAAAAAAACTAAAAGATGTACGGATGCCTCACCGCGTGTCTTTTCCGGTATTTTATCGAGGCACATTGCATTCCATTAAAACGCAATGTATTCGCAAATAATGCTGATTCACACATTGGAGTCTTTTAACTTTAAAAAGATTGTAATTACGAAGAATGTATAACTATCGAATTTGTAAATCGAAAATTATTAAGTCGTCGAGACTGGATGAATTGATTGGAATATCTTTCTGGTAAATAGTAAATAAGTTTCTCGACGCACAAATACAGAAAATACAAAGTGTTTATACACATAAGCAAAGAAAAAAAAATATAAAACATTTTAAAAAACACATAATATCTTACCCTTTCTCTTCATTTTGCGACTCGACATGTTACAGATCAGAGTATACAACAATTTGTTGATATTGAAAGCTAAACAAGGACTTTACACGTGAATAACACCAAACAAATATTTCCTACTAAAAACACATACTAGATACATACAAAATTCTAGAATGCTTTCATCGATAACAACATTTTACTTTCGTTCTAGAAATTCGTTAAGTAAAATATATCACACTAACCGTTTCTGTAAATAATTTGCACTATTATCGATGCAATGAAGATAAAAATACGATAATTAAGTCCGACTTAAATAATCATGATAGAACATTTAAAATATTCGCATATAACAGCACCAAGTTACGCGTTGATCAAGAATACGGCTCCAAATTCGAATAATAACCAGTTTCAGACTTTTCGAAATTAAACGGTTTCGTAAGTTCCTATCGCAATTTACTTAAGTTTGTATCCGCTTCCATGTAAAATTTGTGCAAAAGCGCGCGAACATGAGAATAAACACCAAGCAACACTCATTCGCAGACCACAACTGCAGCGAAAAATCTCGTGGCTTTTTAGGTTAGAACCAGATTAAGCTAGGTTAGGGTTCAGAGGCCCTCTCCAGGTGAAGCACAAAAATTCACCGACGCCGACGCAGAAATTTCTAAGCGACACGTGTAAGCGCGCGTGAACATTTCGTATGTACTTTGAAGCATCGTACTTGAAATATCGTTTGAATATTTTCATAATTTTATCGCAGCTGAAAATTATTAGAATATAAAAAAATTAAAATAATTCTGATAACCAACTGAATACCTTAGGACATCGATAGAATACTGTGAAAAACTTTGCGATCAATGCGTTTTTTTTTTTTTTTCGTTGTATTCCTTGACACAATATCAGATAATTAAAAAAAAATGTAAACAGTAGAATCGAGCCTTAACTTGAATAGTTAACTGAAAATTACACTTATCCAGGAAACTCGGCTGCAAATACTACGTCTATCTCGCGTGCTATCACGAGGCGCAAAGTTCAAACGAACAAAAAGAACGACAAATCTTCGTTGCCTTAGGATGCATCCGTCCTCACTAATTCGTCCGTTACCATATGTTTACTTGCGATCGATAACGCCAGTCCCGGGCAGATACAGCGAATGAATTTTCAGTCGCGGGCAATAGAGAGAAGGAAAGAGAGAGGACGTATCCTTGAGTAAACTCGTTCAAGGCTGTGGTCGCATGGGCGTAACGCGAATGCGTGCGAGATTCAGAAATTATTCTTTATTTCAGTCACTCTGCCTTTCCTTTCTTTTTTCCAAATCTCAACGCTATCAATGTATTTTATCGATTAACGCGCGAAACAATCGTGTCGCTTGCATCACTGTGCGAAAATTCAATAAAATCACGCGTACACGATTTTTAAATAAAGCAAGTGAGTGTTTAATTCCATTGATATGAACGAAACAGCAAATTAAAAATAAAGAAACGATATTAAGTAATTAAATTCCGTTCGCTATAAATATAATTAAACATAATGTACATGAAAATTGGACAGATTCATTAGAAAATTGGCAATATTAGAAGTAATATTAGAAAAATGAAAAATGGACAGTGCTTGTACTCACCATCTGATGGTTTTTGTTGGATCTCGTTCCTAGGAAGCACTTCCGCTTCTGTTTTGTCGCCTGCCGCGTCACCGTTCGTCTTTTGATGGTGATGATCTGCTGCCTGATTATGAACGGGCGTAGGAGTGGCGCCCCTGGAGCCAAGGCTCTTCTCCCGGGTTTTCCTCTCTTTCTGCTCTTTGGTATTCGAAGGCGGCTCGGTAGTAGCGTTAGGTTTCCTCCTCGGCGGTAAATTTGACGAGGTCTTGGCGGACAAGTTAGGGAACGGCTCCCTGGTAGGAACGGGGTTGTTCGAGGCAGTGGCGGACGGTTTCAGGAGTTCCTGGGCGATGTTGCTCCAGTACGGAGTGACCGGTGACTGTATTACGTTGGAGGCGGCGTTGACACTCTTGGCGACCTCGGGCACGGATCCGGTTCCGACTACGGGTCCGACAACGGTAGCAGTAGTTGCAGCCGCGGCAGCGGTAGTAGCGACAATATTAGCAGGAGCAGCAGCGGGAGCAGTAGTAGCGGAAACAGTAGCTCCGGCACCAGCGGCCTCGGGTTCGATCTCAGCCGTCACCGTCGCTGTCGTAGACGCTATTTCGCTGTTAGCAGCCGAGGAAGTAAGCTGCACGGAAATAGTATCTTTAGTCGTGACGGCGACCATCGGAGAAGATACAACGGGTGACGATTCCTCGATCGTCCCTGTCTTTGTTTCGCTTCTAGGCTGAAACTCCTTAATCGGGAGTTGCAACGCTTTCGATTCGGTTTTCGTCGCGTTAGCATCTACTTGCGGTGCGCTATTACTACAAGTACCTAATGATTGACTATTAATTGTAGATGCAATATTGCCAGCGCCAGCGCCAGCTATAGTTTTTTGCGTGGGCGTAGGCGGACCAGTATTACATTGACTATTTGTATCATTAGAGGAATTTGTTTGAACGTTCGATAACGACGTTTGCGCCGTTGTTTGGGTTGTGTTAGGCGCTGTTTCGGACGCGCTCGTCGATACCGAGTCAGACTCCTCGGTCGCGGCTTTCGCGACACGAGCAGCGAAATCGGCTATCACCTCCGCACCATTGTTCTGTAACAATCACCAAATCTGCGTGATAGACGATGACACGTGCTATTCATTCAGACATTACGCTTGACAACTAAAAAACTGGCTCCAAACTCAAATCATAGGGCGAGAGAAATCAAAACTAAAGCACTTAGACGAACAAAATAAATGTTCAAGACTTCATACATCTGTCATACCCTACAGCCATAATATCCTCGTTAGTTAGAAATGTATATGAGATTGCTAAAAATCTGAAAAAAAAAATTAATTAACTCGGTTCATCGATATCGAACGATATCGAAGTTACATGTCACAATGCGCGTAATAATTCTCTTATATTATTTATTAAATATCTTTGCAATCAATACTGATAGTATATCAATCAATCAATCATCTTCCTTATCCACTCAAGATTTCAAACGACTTGCTAGAGGACATGGCTCGTATAGGTATACAGATACAAGTACGAACAATTGACTACGAGAGTTAGCTTTTGGAATATGCGTGAATAAGACGTATAATTCTCTCTTCCGTTGTACAATCAACCGCTACTTGGAAGTGTATCGAGTACAGACTCTATTGTGCCCGGCAACTCTCTTAGCCAATTGTCAACATATTTCAATGTAACTCACCTGTGGTTGTGGCGTCTCGCGATTACTGGATTCACCACTCTGCGTAGTTTCGTTACTGCAATAAATTTCGTCACTGATATTCTTACCAGTGACGGGATTGACTATGTCCAAAATGGCGTTCTGTCCTCTAGGTTTTCGCGATCTAGTGGTGCTATTAGCGTTCGTCGCAGCACCGTTGTGTCCCGAGTACACGTCTTGAAAAGAACAAGAGTACATTTGCCAATTTGAATAACTAAATGAATCTTCTGTAAAAAAAAAAAAAAGAAAAAAAACTAACGTAGATTGGAAACATGTATTGAATCGTTCAAAACGTTATACGTAAGAATAAGATTGAAAAAAAGAACAAAACTTTCTAGACAACCGAATGTGTCAGAGTTGATTTAGAAGTAACGTACCAGTTTGCGATAGAGGTATACCCATTGGAGGCAGAGGTTGGGCTTGTTGAGTGGGTTGCTGAAGTGTACCCTGCGGTACGACTGGAGCACCTTGAGCACCCGTCAGCGGGCCTGCAACATGTTGCGCTCCACCGCTAACAGCACTCGTACTCGTCCTAGTCAAATTCATGTTTGACGAATTCATGTATGTATAATCTGCCAGAGAAAAATACGACATGTCAGCCTTGTTGAAGTCCCCTGCATTGTTGAAGTTCTTCGGCTTCGCATAATATAACTCACAGTTATGATGCGCTTGAGTGGCGGTTGTGTGATATCCGAAGGCCACACCTGGCGGTGTTATGATGGTTGGAGGTGGTTGAAAGGTTTGATAATACGGCTGATTTTGATGCGGTTGGTGTCGTTGAGGCGGACCAGAAAACTAAAAGGGAAAAAAAAAGAAAAAAGAAAAATTTTATTAGTATTTAAGGAAATATATTTCAAGAACACAAAAATATATTCTTATAATGAAAGATAAGAGATTCATATTAATACAAAGCATGATATACAAATATATACAACACATGTGATATGAATATAAATATTAATATATCTTAAGTACCTGAATCGGTATTTGATTGTTCATTTGATAGACGGACTGAGGTTGATGAGGTCCTGTGTGAAGACCATGAACTTGACTTTGACTTATATACATTGCACTCGCTTGCACTGGTAAACTAGCAGGGTGCGAGTATATCGCAGGTGGTTGCCCTCCACCTCCACCAACTCCGGCCATACCGACAACCGGTGTTCCACTACCGCCCTGACCACCGCCTCTATGATTAATACCTCGTGGCTGCTGTGGCCTTTGAGCCGTTGGATAATAACTCTGCACAGGAATAAGAAATGTAAATTAATTCATATTTCAAAAATTTTCCTCTAATTTAAAAAGCTAAGTGTAAAAAAAGATTTCTTATCAATATTAACGAATGCGTACCTGTGACCCCGGTCGGCTTTGCGACGGCACGTAAACCGGCTGCAAAGACGGCGGTTGCGTCGGCAAATGACCCTGCTTTCCCATTTCCTGCGGCGATGGCGTGTGTACAGGTGGTGTCGTGGTAGGCGCTGGACCTTGCGGTGGTTGCGACTGCACCCCTGGCGCTGGTGCTTGAGAAGGTGCTTGCCCTCCGGCAGGACCTCCTGGTGGTATACCCGCTGCGGATTGTCCTATCGTCTGTATACCGCCGAGCGGCGGCGGCCCTCTGCCTGTAGGCACTCCTACATTACCAGCTGCACCCCCGCCCACCTGACCCCCTTGGGCGCTGTAGGTTCCATGAAACTCCGACCCTGAAACAAGATTTGTAACTTATTAAATAATTGCTCGATTCGTGGCTTTTTGTTATTTAAGACTGTTGCAAAATGTTTGCTCGATTTTTACAACACAATATAAACGTATGTATAAAGTCGCAACTCGCAAGGTCAAGTGTTGCATTTGCAATGTAACATGACATTCGTGTATAATTGCATAATTTCATAATTCATATTTATATATTTTATAGTTCGTAGAATTCACTTCCACGAAAGATACGTTCTAGTCAGTATTGCGACTGCTATCTAATTTTTAATAAGATATGCGATGTGTGTCAATATTATTATCCGTATATATAAAATAAGCATAAGGCATTCGAGCTTTTTCTTATTTTTCTTATTTTATCTGTTCAAGTAATCGTCTTTTATCAAACAAATGTTCCTAGAAAATTGCCTCCACTATCTGTACAAGATACACCGTAATCGGAAGCAATGTAAACCGGAAATCGAAGTGGCTATCAGATCTAACTTCGTTAACTCATTGTCTAGTGTGTATCGCGCAAAATTCGACATATCTTAGATTGTTCAACTGAAAATAGAATATAACATTTAGTACGTATACGCACAATATAAACAAATATGATTCAAATTCTTCGAATCAATATAAATAAATAAATGACACCGGTCGTGGCACCGGAAGTGGAAATAATTCTTTTATCGTGTTTAAATCAATTAATCTCTTTGATGCAATGTATCCTACTAAATACGACGCATTATATATATATAGATTATTCTACTAAAAATAAAATATAATTTCATTTTTAACATATATACACACAATATAAATATTTGTTAAACTCTCTGAATAAAAATAAATAAATCAATTAATTAACTTAATTTTGGAATTACGTAAAACTATCGCAAGTACAAAATAATTATTATGCATGTTATAAAAAAATTTTTTAAATTATAAAAAAGAAAAAAATATCTAAAAAGGAAGAAACTAAACTAATATGTAATTATTTTACTTGATATTTAATTTCTTAAAGGAAAAAAACGAAAAAAACAATAAGGTAAAAGCTGAATACTCAACACAAAAGATGAGTGTTCATGCGCTACGAACTAACAAGGGAATGCAGTAACGTGTCGACACTAATCGCGAGCTTACACAGCACAGATAAGTAGGTACGAGGCTCCCGAAATACATATATCGCATCCCATCTCGATAACGTCTGGCATGCATACGCGGCATGCCATCGCGCGCTCGAACGCCCTCGCCATCCTCGCCCCGTTTTCTTCGTCGTACCAATTACTAATTACTCTCACGAAATATGCACGATGAACGGCACGTTGACGTCAACGTTTTTCATTGGAGAACATACGCGCCGAGATATTCCAGAGATGCCTTACGGCCACTTCCTCGATTTCTCTCGATGATTCTCTTCCGACTCGTCGCGATCCGCGACGCAAAAATTACCGCTCGTCCGACCGATATTTCGCATTTTTCTACTCGTTGAACGGACGCGAAGGGAGAAGCGAGACGAATATAAGACGGGGACGGCCACGCGTCTCAAACGTTGGAGAAAAATATGGATCGCTTTTTGTACAAACGTCGCTCTGCTCACCGTTACGAGATCGTTGCACGAAATTTGTCCTTTGTAGTCCCCTCGCAGGTCGAACGTACCTGATGATTCTGCACAACAGTGCGTCGTTACGAAAGCGCGACGTTGACGTGACAGCGATATAAGAACGTGAACGAACGCACCGACAGACCGACCTCGCGGACGGCCATCTTTGCACATGTGGGCAGGGGCCGGGGAACAGTGCTGCTATCTGTGATTCCGCCACGACATCGATTCGTGACCGTTGCACAGGAACGACTCCGTCGGGTGGCGCGCATCGCTTCGCGAGGAATATGCGAGGCGCATATTCGACATTCACATCACATGTTGACATCTCCGTTAGCTAATAAGTCTAATCAATTATGCAAACGATGCCGCGATGCATCTCGCAGGAAGGAACGCGCTTCTGTTCGCTTTAAAGCTTCAAGCATATTCCGATCGAGAACAATTTCCATTGAAGAGAACTAAAAAAAAATTTTTTGCTTATACAAAAACTGCGCGAGTTTGTAAATTTTATTTTCCCTCTTTTTTAATTTCTCCTTGATAAGATCACGAGGCGGGAGCTGCGACGGTTCGAGAATAATGCGAAAAGTATTACCGAACGAAAAAAAAACTCATCCCACTAAATTGCATCGCCCAACACGAAAAATTACGGTCAGAGAAAAGGAGAATGGCCTAGAGAACGCGATCCAGAATGCGAAGAGCCGCGCCTGAGCCCTGTACGTCATTTCCGGCGGAGAATGACGTATGCAGCTCGCGTCACCCCACCCACGGAATCTCCGATTCTCTCCTGATGCGCCCCGCGCTTGACGTGTATGTGTGTGTGCGCGTGCACACACGATTCCGAATCGACTTTGAGCCGAAGAGGGGAAGGGGACGAGACATTAATGAACGCTGCTAAACGCTGCACGTCGATTGAAAGCGCTACGGTACTGCACGGCAGAGTGACTCGATCGCGAATGTGGAAGTGAGGAGTCGGTTGGGTTAGGTTAGGTTAGGCTCGGTTAACCTCATCGTTCAGCGAGCCACGTGGCGCACGCTGCATCGATATTATTGTTAGCGACCAGAGATTGCCGTAGGAACGCTACGGTTCCGTCGTAACGCTCGTAACAGGATCATCGCGAGCGAGCTGACACCCCCCCCCCCTCCCCCCTCATGCCTTCGCGCCATTATCAAATGTTCCACACACCGGACTCGACCGATCACCCATTTCATTCTCGCGAAACGCAATAATGAACGCGATAAAATGCGACCGACGGTCAGTATCGGGCGATAACGAGCTCTTTCGTGGAGTCACAAAGCGGAAGCACTCGAATCATAGACCGATTTGTCAAGGACGAACCACGAATGTCATTCGTCATCCTCACGTAATTATGCTAAGTGTTAATATCGATGATTAATCTTTCTGCGCGGTGTTTTTCCTTTGAGTTCCTTACTTTCTAAAAAGTCTTAGATGAATTTTCTGCATTTTTGCTTAATTTCTTGTAAATTTCAAGCGATTAAAGTATTAGTAAAATTTTTACGTAGTTCAAGAGTTTGTGTTTAATAAATTTCTCTCTTCCAGTGTATATGTTGAGGTATAATCGCGTCGAATATCAACAACTCCTGATACACGTTGACAGAGTGACTTTGAGAAGCATGTTTCGATTTGCGACTTATCGCCAGTCATTAGACATCGTTACAAGGAAAGAAGGCAAAACAGGAGATGGAACGGGACGTATCCGTGCGAAGGGAAAGGATCGAACGTACCTTCGTGGCGGCACAAGGTGGAAAGCGTTTTATCGATTGACCTATATCGTGAATTGTCTAAAGCGCCGTCCAGGGGCGCTAAGAACTAACCTAAATAGCAAAACTGCCCGATATATCGATATCAACGAATTACCGAAAAATGACGGCTATTGTTCGAGAAGATACTTAAGCGTACCTTGATTCGTATTTACACTGCAGCGATTTAAAATTTCTTTTACAGAGATACCGAAAATACTGCAACGTTTTCTTAGTTCGATAAAATGAGCACAAAAAAAGCAACCAGGCTCCTAAGGAATAATTTTTAATAAATAAAACTTTAGAAATATTCCAGTGTTCAAAAAAAGATTCAAACGGAAGAATAATTCCATAAATTTTGCGAAGCGATTAAGATCGGCACTAAAGCATCGCATATGTCATCGGCTTAACATGACGGCAGTATTCTGCTCAGTTTCGCCGAGAGAGGAGAGGAGAGGAGAGAAAGAGAGAGATTCGAGGCTGTTTGAATCCGCTCGAACCCGTACCGTTCGCAAATAGACGCAAAACGATTCGACTCCTGACAGATAGGTCACCGGGTCAGATTAACTACCCACAATGCGCTCGAAAATAACGCGCTTCGCATCATTCTGCTTCGTGATTGCGCGCACACGCACGCACGCATATTCGATTGACCGTGTTGCGGGCCGCACCGACACGACGGTCGTGATAAAAGTTCAACGATCGCGATGACAAGAGAAGCGCGGAGTTTCTCGAAATTACGTTAGCGCAGGTCATATCCCCACGAGGCGAATCGAAAAAAAAACACGATTACCCAGGAGACCAAAACACCGAAAGACCAAATAAACAGGGAAGCAGAAGCGAAAGTAAGCTGCGCTCTCATTGGTCACGGGTTCTCATGTCCATGATGGAGCAAGTCAATGATCGAGTTTGCGCGATTATCATCTAATAGCATGCAAGATACATCGTGCAGCTACGTATCGCCGTCAGGAATCAGAAACAGGAGGGTCAGCGCGATAACGTTCGAAAACAAGAAAACAAAATCATGAACCGTCCAATCATGTGAATACGACTGAAATAAAGCTGGGAATAACCGTGCAAAAAATTGAAAAGTATTTCGAAACAATAGGGTTCGAATGTCTCATTGTGCGCTCCGTGTTATCGTTCAAGGCGTTGGCAGTTTTATCAGCAGTCCCGCGTGTGCATACGATCCAATATTAAAACGCATTTGCCGTAATCAGAGCTGAGCCATTCTCACGATGCCGCTCTCTCTCTCTCTCTCTATGGCACAAAAGAGTCCTCGTAAAGTAATCTACATTGCGACGATTTAACCCGTCAAGACCCGCGGGCTGCTATCTTCATTGATCTCGTTTAGAAAAATCGTGGAATTCAATAATTTGATATAAAAAAAATGTTGAAGAAATTGTCTTCATTGTAAAATACGTCTGCAACGCGCAAATTGCTCGACACTTGGCGTGAAATTATTAATAAGAATGTTAATCATTTTTTCTCGTCCATATTATAGTTGCAATTAGCTCTCAGGTGTGCAAAGTATCTCAATTGATACTCGATTGATTTAAGAGAGTGATCATAATTAAAAGACACATCCATCATCGATGCGCGCGTGTGTAGACTTATAAGATCGATTAATTTTCCTAACATTCAATCAGCTGTTTGCCAGTGGCGTACGACTCAAGTGCGTCTTATCACTCGCTAAACAATTAAATTATTAATGAATAAATAAAAGATGGTCGGAAAGATTGGCGTAAAGTTAAAAAACAAAACGACGTAAATGAACGAAAAGAAATTCGCGCTTTCGTTAAACGAAGGAGGAATTAAAATTGTGATTCACGTTATTTCGATGAATTTTCGCGCCTCATGCGCGCTTTCTCTCTTTACTCACTATTCGCAGTGACGCGATACTGCGGTGGTATCTGCTGGTGTTGCGTTTGCTGATGCTGAGACTGTTGCTGTTGCTGCTGCTGTTGTTGCTGCTGCTGGTGGTGATGATGGTGACTGAGGTGGCTGATGTTGACGGTAAGCTGGGGATGCGCCAGTTGATTGAGATGAGGACTCGGCGACGGCGGCGGCGGCGGTTGATGGCCGGGATGCACATGATGATTGTGACCTGGCTGCGGATTTTGAGGATGCGACGCCGTGAGATGGTGGTGATGATGGGTACCGCCACAGTGCGGCAGCAGACAATGCATAGGTCCTAAGGCACCGACGACATTCACTGCGCCCTCCTTCGAGACGCTGTATCTCGAAACCATTCTTCCCGATGGAACGGCAGCCGTGTTCGGCTGCTGGCGGCTTTCCCTCGCGCGAACTCTCTTCTCGCTCCTCCTCGCTGAAATCCTCCGCGGTGATTAAAAACCGTTCGCCGTCGGCGATATTCCGCGAAGTGTGTTTACGTAATGACAGATGCGGGAGGACGAACCCGCGACCATCGTCGCGAATCGCCAATCACGATCCAATCTTCCGTTTTGCACGTTTAATTCCGCTCCGAAATTTCGAATGGCGTAAATTTTAACGATTACAATTTTCTTCCCTTAATAATTTGAAATTTTTCTTTCGTCAAACGTCTCAATTGAAATAATTTTAGGTTACGAAGTTGAAGAAGTGAAGATGGATATCGCCTGTACTTAACCAACACACTTCGCGATCCGTCAACTTGTTAAGTGACAACGACGCCCCATGATGACATGGTGCTTTATTCGTCCGTTCCGTCGACAGTCCTGAATTTTCGCCTCCCTCGGTGGATGATGATTCTCGCCGCGCGCTTCCTCTCGAACGGCATTAAGTGCAGCCAATTTTTCCGATCAAATCCCACAGAATTTCGGCTTCGAACGGACGCGGATTCTCGCCTCACTAAAACGATACCGAGCACACGTGGTTGCGCCGCTTCGCAAACGACATTCTCAACGAGTCAGCGGGAGCGCCAATCGCCCACTTCACACACACGGTCGGGCGCATTCAAGCAAGATGCGAAAGGATCCCGGCAGAGAGATGTTACGCCGGCGGCTGACTGTCAAAACTGTTGTTGTCGCGTGTCGCACGTCGCTCGCATTGCTCGGCATAGGTGGCGGAACGGAGAACTCTCTTGCCGTGGCGGACAGACTATCGCGCGCGGCTCGTCCAAAATCGATATTTAAGGCTCGACCGGCGTCGTCTCTCCCTCTTCGTGTGTCGCCCACTCCCGTCGCACGGGGAAACTCGCCGTGATGTTCGCGCGACGGCTGCACAAGGGCGATTTATTTTTCCCGGCCAGGAACACGAAGACGATGCGACGGAGACCGAGATGACTGCGGTCTCGCGCGCGCGAAACGATGCACGATTTTTAGCCGCCGCCTTTTGCTTCGTGAGAGATCGGACGGGCAAAGCGCTAACCCGTGTCTCGCACGGCGCGACGATCGGGAGCGTTCGGGACGCGCGCCGAAAAGATCCGAGCGCGCCAACTCGCCTAAGTATGTATCTCTTCCTTGCGTTTCGGGATGCGCGTACGCTTCGGGGGAGGAAAAAAAACAGGAGGATTCTCTTCGAATCACTTATCGATGGATACGATTAAAGCACATTTACACGCGCATAAAACAGGCACTGATCGAACGTGCACGATACGCAGTGCTACAACGCACGAACGCTAGTGACGGATACTATGGTGTCGGAACGGCGTCTCGCCGTCAGCGTCGTCGCGCACTCAGCCCCACTTCTTTCGCTTGTCTTCTTCTTGTTTACAGGCACCGGACGGGTGCCAGCACTCTCCCACACGAGTGAGCCTCGACCCCGAGGTCCGTAATGTTCCAGTGTAAAACACGGAACTAATTCACAGAAGAAAACGAGAGCGTCCCTTCGGCGAGGGACGCGAAGTTGGACTGACGCAAGCCAGCTAGGTCCTTCCCGTACGACGACGAAGAACACTAGCACCATCTACTCGATTTGCTACGTAACTAAAACTAAACCAATGAAGACTCTAGCGACCCTGGAATCTCTCCATTCTTTTGCCAGACTCTTGCACACGGTATACAATCGTTACCACCACTACCTTTTTCAAACTTCTTATATATATCAATATGTAGAAGCAGCATTCGTTAAAAAAATGTACAAAAAGATTTAACACAATCACGTTATATATAAAAATTATTGATTGTATTTACAATTATTTATTAAATCTTAAATAAATAAATAACATTTATAATTTATTTATTTAGAGATTTAATAAATAATAACTTGCTTTATATTCAATAAAAATTATAAGATATTATTAAAAAGAAACGAGATTCTTCAGCAAATAAATTCTAGCTATACATTTCGAAAGAGATGAGCTTAAAAAATTTGTAATCAAAGATATGAGTACTGCATTTTCCGCATGTTTATCCAAATCCATTTCTAAAAACCATTATTCTTTGCCACAATCTCCGATAAAATTATTTACACAAACTTTTTAAAATATTGATTTTCCATCTCGCTTCGCCTATCGCGACAATAAAATATATGCATCATGTTCCTTCAAAATTCTTTTAGATTATTTACTATATCACAGTACATATTTCGCACACGTGTTCCATTTATGATATATGCAGTATATATTTTTTGTTTATTATTATGAAAAAGACAATAAATAAAATTTTGTATGAATCATAATATAAAGATTAAAAATAAAGTAACTTTTTTTAGATACATGTTTTTAATTCTACAACATAAACAATTTAAATAAATATAAAGGAATAAACATATTTAATAAATGTGATAAAATATTAATTACATAGAAACAAAATAGATACATGATAAAATATTAATGACTGCATATGTCATAAAATAAAGAATATAACAATTAATGTAACATAATATTGTATAATTAGATCAATTTCTGAAATTTATGTCTTATCAAAATTAAAATAAACATATATGTATATGTTACATCTATACATTTTTCCTCGCTTTTGCAAAATTTAATCATATCGTTATAATTATTTATTTTATTAAATTGTTAAGTTCCAATATCACGACCGTGACTCACGTTTAGTGAGTCTTTACTGTATTAAAACGATTTTTTATTCTATTGTATGTTCTATTATATTACACATATTCAACATATATTTTGTTGAAATCGCCAAATTAAAATCATCAAGTTTATTTTCTTTAATTTTTTTTAGTTTGCCGTGAGTTCCTAAATTTGTAGAGCTCTGTGTAGCACACCTATAGATAAATCCCACCCTGAAAAATATATAGCTAAAAGAAAGTGTAACGTATTTGCACATTTCTTTTGGAAATTCCTTTCAACCAACGTTTGACCATTGACTCGTCCTTGGATCGACCATAAAAACTTTCTCAGTTTTCAAAAGGTACAAAGGCTATTGATATGGTTTACAATAAGATTTTCAAAAAAAATTGTATGCATTTTTAATTTATAACAATAGACAAACGTCAATTGTCAATTTTTCTTCAGTATGAATAGCAATATTTACATACAAAATGCATTAGTCATTCAGAACAAAGTACGGTAAAATCTTGGGTTAATAAGCAAAACGGAACCATTTAGATATTTTGACAAATTTTGACGTTAACAATGGACAAATATTTCGAAAGATGGAAAATAAAAGAAAATAAGGCAAATAGGCAGACAGGCAGTCCATGCTGGAGAAAATGTTTTATGGACTTTGTATAGACTTTGCCAACAATAGATTCAAAAATCAATTTATCATCTCTACCACCCATGAAACCAAAAATTCACTAGACAAATACAACAAATTCAATAAACAAATAAACTATACAATTTGCCTTCCTTTAGAATATACACATTTTCGAAAATATTATTTATCGAAATTAAAAACGAAAGAACATAAAAATTAAAGATATTTATATATCTGAAATACTTTATCTTATTGTTAAGCTAATGCTTGACTGTTATGGAACTATTGGTAAATATTGTCATCTTATCGATCTCACTGTTAGGCTACAAAGGTCACTTTGGTGACATATAAAAATTTAAAGACAATTATACAAATTTCAGCAATCAAAATTCCATCTGTTCAAACAAACGAAAATCTTTTTCTAATGACCCTCTTCTTGATAAGAAAAGAATCTCGTCAAGAACGTATTGATGCAGATATTTCTCAAGAGTATAATTAATGTAATGTTACAATAAATTTAAAACATATTAATTAAAATGACATACATTTTGTAAGTTTGATAAGTTCAGAAACGAGACATTATTTAAATTTTGAAACTTGAAAGAGTAGACAGTATAAACAAATTATTATATCATATATTATATTATATAAAACTTGAAAGTAGACAGCGTAAACAAATTATTATATCACTTTGGAGATAAGTTTTTCTGCTTTCATAAAATTAAATTATGTCAGTACAATTGATATGTTTTTCATTAGTTTCATTATAACGAATCATGTATTTTACATCGTATTTTTATCAACAGATCTATTGTAGTTATCTTTTTCAAGATAAAGGAAAAAGTATATTCATGCAAATCATGTACTTTGTACATTCATATTCACTCTATTATAATTTTTGCTATACATTTTATTAAAAGACGTTAAAAAGACCATTTTTCAGTCGTTTATATTTAAATATGCAAAAATTAAAATTTTTTAAAGTTGATTAAATGTTAAAAAGAGAGCTTCCTAGCCTGCTGTAGTGTATCTTTTTTTCACTTCTATTAAAAAGTAATGAAAAGAAACCACTACGCGTATCTCGGTAATGCACTGTGTGCCATTTGATAAAAAAAAGAAGGCCGCGGGATTAAAGGCGACTCTTTCGGCGGCAATGCCATAACGCGAAAGTGCAAGTAGACGTATGGTCAGGAGTCGCTGCGATTCACGAAGATGCACGAGCGCGAGCGTTATGTGGGCGGAAGAGATGTACCGAAGGACGCGTGTACACGAAGGTGGAAGGTGAGAGAGAGGCCGTGACGACGAAGGGGGAGAGAGCGCGGATTCGCGAATCGCGTGTATAGGTTGGGTGGTAACCCAGTTTCGCCAGTGCACCAGGCCAAGCTGCAGCAACCGCCGCCGAGCCGATCGATACCTATATGCACCCGGCGCTGCCCACAGCCTAGATTCGCCGCCTGGTCTAGGATAGGTGCGAGAAGGGAGATCATCTCTCTCTCGCATGACCTGCGTGACCTACATATCTCGCGGAAGAGAAAAAGTCACCGTCGGTCATCCCTCGAGTTCGCACGACCCTCAGTTCGCTCACTGTCGCATTATTATTCGCAGCTATCGCGTCGCAATTGCCACGGCTCAGCGTCGTACACGTTTGAGAACAATTTTCCGACGTCCGTTATCCGAGTTCTAATTTTAAATAAGGGATCTTGTCAAGGAACAAGTTCGTTCGTTAAATTAGACCTACCGAGTGATTTATCATCGAAGGAAAAGTCATTATTGTCAAAAAAAAATTTTTTGAACCAAAAATAGCCTGCTTTGTCCTATTCAACACATTCCTTCGTCCCATTCAACATATTCCTTCTTATGGTATGCTATTCATTATGATACGAATTTACATATTTATTTAGGTATTCTTTTAAATAAGTTTAACGGTGACCCGTTTCGATGAAAAAGAGAAACTGGCAGGAAGAGAACAATTTTTCACAAAGAGAAGAATTACGGGAAAAAAAATTGAACGTCGCGAGGGAGAAGGTAGGCGTACAGACCTGTAACCCCGGGCAACCTTCAACTGTCTCGAGACGAAAGCTTCAGCCAGACGAGACGAGCGAAAGTTCAAAGTCCTCGTACGAAAACATGGTCACCGTGAGTCACCCCGCAAATATTATCCTCTCAAGATATCCATGATCGCGAGCAATTTCGTTTAACGCAAGATTTTTATCAGAATTTGAACGCGTGGTGTTGATTCTTCGGCGATTAAACCGCAGATACGAATCAATGGGCGAATTATTTTACATTATTTCGCGACGTCTAAATTGCCAAAAAAAAAGAGATCAGATATGGTATGCACGCGGGTGAAAGCCGTAAAAGTCGTTTTCCAGGGGTCTTTGAGCCCCCGAGCCGTTGACCTTGGAAAGGTAGCATGGAAACCTCGTGGTGTCGAGCGGATAGCACTATCTCTATTTCTCTCTTTCTCTCGCCGTCTCTCTATGTGGGCGTTCGGTAGGTTAGCAGCCCGCGAAAGGTGGGAGAGAGAATGAACGGCGGAGGAAGAGGCGGGACGGAATGAGAGGACGAGATGGAAGAGGAAGAGGAGGATACCACGCGCCGACAAACGTCTGGACGGGAGAGACGGAGAGTCTACGCAAAGGGAGGGTCGATATTTACCAGCCCTCTCTTCCTCCCCCTTACCCTCACTCACTCATCCCCTTCGTTCCCCGCGGGCAACGACCTAACCACCCTCGCTCGTGCGTTCGCTGCGAACGTCCGCAACTCTCGCCCCCTCGGGCTCGCGCGCCCTACGCTACGCGTTCTGTCGCGTCCTAACCCTCAAACGACCCCGAACGACTCCCCCTCCCCCATCCGTCTCTCTCTCTCTCTCTCTCTCTCTCTCTCTCTCTCTCTCTCTCTCTCTCTCTCTCTCTCTTTCTCTCTCTCTCTTTCTATTTCTCTCTGGTTCGAAATCCGCGTAACAAATGCCAGCTGGATCCGCGCAAACAACGTGCATACAGCGGAACGAACGAAGCCGAAGCGGAAGTCGCGGGGCTATTCGCCGACCTGATAACATTCGCCTCTTTATATTGGCGCGCGTGGTCAGCGAACACGTGGTGGCACGGCGGAAATATTTCGCTCAATGCACAGAAATATCACTGTCGAGTACACACGCGCTCGGTAATTACTTTCTTATCGCAGTGCCAATTCTAATTCTTTTGTGATTTTTATGGTTCGTAATA